CGCGTGCCTTGTTGGCGGGTAGAAAAGCAAAGCCCGGACCTTGGCCCGCGTTCGAGGGCAAAGTAAAAAACGCAGCAGGCGAAGGCGCCCGCGTCACCAGGGACAGGCGTGCGAAACTAGTCTGGGGCCACCGACTTGCGCGGCGCGTCGCGCATGCGATGGGCAAAGGCGCGCGCGGGCGTACATCATGCGGGCGCGAGGAATGACAGAAGCAAGTACACAGCGAAGGCGCATAATGTTTCAAAGGCGGGCGCTTCCCAGCGAAGTTTCTGCGCGCCGCCTCGGTGCGCCAAAATGTATTGTGAAGGCGCGCCGCTACCATACGAATTTTGTAGGTGGGCAAAAAGACATACTTTGGCGGGCTCGGTGCTGCCATACGTTACAAACCGCACCGGGCTCGGTGCTGCTTTTTGGCGGGTTTTCTCGATGAAAAAAGCGCGAAAATTGTAACGCCCCACATACGATTTGGCGTGCCGAGTCGTATGTGCGTACCTAGGCCACGTCATAGATGAGTTACTAGTACATCACTGCTTTTGTGGTTACGCCCAACGGGGTCCCCCGCACGTGCCAACGCTAAGATCGTAAAATGGATTTCCCCATCGTCGTCGACCTCCAGCTCCACTCCGACCTTCCCAACGGTCCCTACGGCGAAGGAAAGGGGTCCGGCTTATCCCTGACCATCCACGTCTTGAACGGTACAACGTACGGCCAGGTCGCCCGGATCATCAAAACGCAATGGGAAGCGGAACGGGCGAAAATGACGGGTGGGCTGGGAGTGATGTCTGCTCTGCCGGGCGGTAGCACAAATACGAAAAACGGCAGCTACAAGGAGAACTGGGTGGTGCAAAAGATCAAGTACCAGAAGAATTTCATCCACTTTATAACCTGCTCAGCTGTTACAATCTCAAACGTTGCAACAGAGTCTGGAATTTGTGTTGCATGATGAGCATGACAGACTCGCACAGCGTTCCACTTTTTGCAATACAAATTTCGCCAGATTTGCAGTGGGGTTCGGGGCTCCGGAACTTGTCATGCGCAACCCTATGAGAGCTGGCCAGATCATGCACTCTTGCGTCACAGATTTCCATACTCTATTGTAACGTTTGAGATTTTTGTAACACCTGAGCAGGTTATACACTTCGCGAGTTCGGGGGAGAATAAACTGGTCGAGCAGGGGATGCACGACGTGATTTTGGTGTTGGATCAGGATCTGGACGAGGATGAAAACGGGAACAAGCAGGGGAGGCGGAGGAGGAGACGTGGTCGCCTTCTCTTACGCTGTTGTCCTCTTGGTTGATCATCATCATGGTATCGACGTTGATTTCCGCATGCTGGAGAGGACATGCGTTTCTGATGTTGTTGAGTTCAGTTGTATAAGTAAGTACTCCACCCATTCCTGACGGCACCTGATTGTGCAACTCTGCGATGACGAGCGTTCGTTTACCATTCCAAGAAGATTGAAGATCATGAAAACTCCATCTTGATGCGCCGCTATGGCTGAACACTCTTACCACGACCTCGAATGCGGGGTGACCGGGTGCTAGGCCTGGTCTGGAAAAAAGATACTAGCATCACATGAAGATGTATCTTGACGACCACCAACCAGTGTTCCCTACACTAAATATTGTGCTAGATTAATGGTCTTCTAGTTCTATTGATGGCACGACTAAGTAACTGCGATGAGGACGAATGCGGCGCTTGCGCACGCACCGCAGCTGCAATTGCTATAAGAAAACCCTTGTGGTGTGCTTTATTCAAGGACCAATGATAGGGGCAGTGGCACGACGATGTCAATATTTTTGAGCAGGAGATGACGATGTGGTCAAGCAGAAAGTGTTGAGTCGTTTCTGGTTCTTTCCCAGGTCGTTGTAGTGTGATTGGAGTTTTTCTTGAGACCAAGGAGTAGTGAAAGCAGCTGTGATGCTCGAGGATTTAGAGTAGATTACGCGTTCAACAAAGAAAATATAGAAAAGAAAAATCTTCAGTATAGGAAGTCCACGAAGTTGTTGTAGAGAGCACAACCAGAACCACGAAAATGAATAAATCGTAGTCAGGTAGTTCAGAAAAACCGAAACTCAAAAATACAAAAACCATGCCCAAGCGCAAGAAGGACAAAAAGTCGGCTGCCGCCGCAGTAGCCGCCGACAGCCCGGAAGAAGATCAGCAGGAGAGCAATGAGCAGCCTCCCGCAGCGGGGGACGGGGTACAACAAGAGGATGCCGACATGCAAGACGTCGACGCGTTTATGGAGGAAGAAGGGATTGAAATGCCAGACGACGGAACTGCAAACCTCCTGTCCAAGTATTACAAGGAAAAATGCCCTCCTCGCCCCCGAGCTTGGGAGCATTTGTATTGCAAACCTTTCCAACCGAAACACTCGCCCTCTTGCATCTATCAGCGTCACAGATTTCCAATCGTGAAAAGCAAAAATTTGCATTGCAAAAGATCCCAGCAAGAGCGGCGCTTGTCATGCATGCAGTAATCTGAGTTGCGCCACGCTGAGTTGCTTTTTTCACTTTATTTTTCGGCATGGCTCCGCACAATCTGAATTGTCATCGTATTGTATATACGCTCGGCCTTCGTTCTTTTGCCGTTTTCGTTGCGTTTCGTTCATGTTTTTTGCTTTTCGTGCGTAAGTATGACGGGGGATTTGTCATATGGTGCGAGAGATGTAATTTTCGTCTGGAATCGGTTATCATGTGATAATCATTTGATTATCACGTGATCGAAACAATTCAAATTGGCTTATGGGGGTCCAAAATCACATGACTATCATGTGAGCAATCGCGTGATAATCATATGATCGGGACTTTGTGGCGGATGCTCATACTATTTATTTCTTGTTTCATTTTCATTACAGTGCCCAACTTCAATTTGTCCCGTTCAGACGAAAAAAGAACACACTACCCAAAAAGAAAACAACTTGTCGACCTCGGACGAAAAACGAGCGCGCTAACCACAAAAAACCTCTCTTCTACTAAGCAAAAAAAATACCAGCAACGCACTAGCTTGCTACGTTTCTGGCTTCTCTACCTTTTTCTTTGTTTCGCGTTTCTCTCCTTCTTCAATTTTTTCGATTTCGCCTTGCAAACCATGGCAATCGTTTCGGTGGGCGGCGATTACGACCGGGCCAAGGCCTTGGCGGCCGCTGGCTTTCTAGATGCGGACGACTCCGACTTCTGCTTCGGGGATTCGGGCGACTTTCCGCCGCGGCTGACCCCCGCGGGCTGGATCGACATGAGCGACCGGGTGGCCTACTCGGACACGCAGCGCCGGCGCCTGCGGCTTACGGCCCTGAAGGTGGGCCGCCTTTGGGCAAACTTCGCCAAGCTTCGGGACCTGGGGAAGGCGTTGAACCCGAAGGAAAAAATATCCCCCAGAAAAAAAGCGCGCCCCCGTCTTAGCGAAGCAGGGGCAGCATGTTAGGCATGGCAGGCGTTTTCGTTTTTTTTTTCGCATTTTCGCCCATCACAGACGCCGGCGGCCCTTCGCGGCTGGGGCGCGCTTTTTTCATGATGTTGCAGCATGCTGGGAGGAATGTTGGCGACGGCGTCGGAAGAGGCGCAGCCCTACAGCCCGGGCCAGAAAAGTTTTGCCGCCAACGTGGCCAAAAAAACCCGCGACGCCGACCTGATGGCGGCCTTTCCCTACAGCGGCGCGGGCAGTGTTTTGGACGTGTCTTGGTTACAAGATCCGGCCCCCAGTGCTCCGGGCCCAAATGGCGAAAAGGCCCCCCCGCCCCCCCTGCCGGCGGCAGCGGTGCCGAAGTTCGACGCGGGCCCAGCTTCTTCGCTCGCGGACTCCGACCCGGGAAGCGAGTCGGAGGCGGGCAAGGCCGAAGCGGACGGAAACGGACGCGGGCGCGGCGGCGGACTGCGCGCGAACAACACTCCCCCCCCGCCCCCCCCTGTTCTGGGATCGCCGTCCGTTTTCCCGGGATACCGCTACACGTCCGAAGGGCTGGTGACGGACGACCTGGACCCCGCCGCCTTGACCTCGGACATGGCGCGGGTCCTAAAGTTTTGCCCGGACATCGGGGGGCTTCGAAAGTTGGTTTTGACAACAACAAAGGAGCCCGCGCGCGGCGGGGGCGGTGCGCTTATCGTTTTTTGTTTTCGGCCCTTTTTTGTGGTGGTTTTGTTAGCTTTTGCCGGAGATTCTTTAGCTTGAGCAGGCTCGTATAGTCTTGGTGATGTGTGTCTTCGTTCCCGCGTCGCTTTCCTTTTCTATTTTCCACTTTTATTTTCCCCAGGCACTCTCGTCATGGACCAGATCTTGGTGCCCCGGGAGTGGCGGCCAGACCAATTGGGGCGGGCGTTTCATTATTTTTTCCGACCGACCAACTCGGCGTGGATTCTGGTCGACCTCGACAATGCTTCGCCGGCGACGGTGGAAAAGGCCAAGGAGGACCACCGCTGCCGTATCAGAATGGAAACCCCCTGTCCCCATAGCGCAAATGAAATCTGTGATGCGGTTTTTGAGTACACAGGCAGGCTTGTAATGCTAGAAGGCCAAGAGACGCAGCTGCGGCCTCATTTGCAGCGAATTTGTCATGCTGTTTCGCACTTCTAGCTGCCCGATGTCATGCCGAAGATGCAAGGACTTGTCACGAGAACCAGCACTACAGTTTGCGTCTTTTTCGTTTTAGCATGACAAAGCTGATTTGTGGCCACAAATCTGCATGACAGATTTCAAATCTGATATGGGGTGGGGGGGCTTCGTTTTGATATGGCGATTTGTCACCCGCACATCAGAAACGTGTTGGCAGGGTTGGTACAAGGTGGAGGGGGGCGCAAAGGCCGAGAAAGACTTTCGCACCGTGATGGTGCCCCTCCTGGGCGGCGACGCGAATGCCAACCGTGCGGGGCAGCCCGGCCGCCTTCCCGGCAGCCGGAACCCGAAACCGGGAAAAATGGGATGGGTGTGCCGGGTGGAATGGATTCGTGGGGAAAACGTGAGCGGGCCCCACAGCCGCGCCGCCCCGGCAAAATATGGCGGAGAAAAATAGCCCCCCCCTCGTTGTCGCAAACGCAGGGCCCGAGTTTTGTCGGCCGTTTGCAGTTTTCCCCGGATTTTTCCGAAAAATCCCGGGAAAGTGTTGCAACCAGCATGACAGAGACGCGCCGCGATCTTGGGGGGGGGGGGTTTGCACAGGATGCGCCTACGACTGGGGAGGCGGTTTTGCAAAAAATCGCGGGGAACGGCAACTGTTGCCCTCTTTCCATTGCGGCGGCCACGGGTATCAGCATGCCGAAGGTGAAGCAGCTGGTGGAAGGTTTCATGGCCGGGAAGCGTGATTATGGCACCGCGCAACACCCACCAGCCCCCCCCCCTTCTTTTTGTAAAGACGACGGGCCAAAGTTGTGATGTTGTTTTCCGTTCCGCACAGAATTGCCGGCCCTTTGGTTTTTGTTGAAGTTCTTCGGCGGCTTGCCGTTGTTCTGGCAAAAATGCGCCGGAGACTACCCGCTCTGAGGCGGGCGGGCATATAGTAGCTGAGTGCGATGGTGCTTGGCCCCCGCCAATCACCGAGGCAAAAGGCGGAAAAAAGGGGAGGGGGGGGGGGTGTGTGTTGCGCATTGGCATAGCGAAGAGCTTGGCCCGTTTTGGGTGGGCGAGTATGGGGCTGACGAGCCGGCGGGGCGCGGCGTCCTGGAGGAGCAAAGCCAGTGGCTGTCCTGGTTGGAAAAGCTGCTGCACCCAGCCGCAACCGTGTGGCTTGGCCACGCTTTTCTGGAAGCTGCCGCCCAGGTGATGGGCCTCACGATCTGCATCGAGCCCGCCCCCGGTTCCGCCGTAAGGTTTCAAAAAATTGGAACCGGCACGACGGAAATCCGCTTGCAGTACGATGGCCGCCACTATGACGCCTTCGTTTTGCCCAGCGCATCCCCGCGAGGCAGCAGCGAGAGGCCGGCGGCGCAAGCGGAAGCAGCACCGCAGGAACCAGAGACAGGGGCCGCGGTTCGTGGCCCGGGTTGCCAGAAGCGGGGCACGGAAACGAGCGCGCCAGCGCTAAAGCCAGACGCGTTTGCCGAAATTGTTGGGCCCCAGAAGCAATCGATGGGAGATGATCCGCAGGCGCTAGAACCGAAGCAGGCCGGCGGTGCTCCGCAAAAGCGCCCCGCGGAGCTGAATGCACCAGCGCCGCTGCCGCCTGCGATTGTTGCGGCCGCAAGCGATTCGGAGCAGGGCGATTTGGGAGGCGCTTCGGACTCAAGCGAGTGCGCGCCCCCGCCTTTGAAGCGGGGCCGTAAGTCGAACGCCGGCAAAAATTTCTCTTTGCCCGATGACACGATCGAAACGCTGCTGGCAGCTGCCGACGTCAGGGCGGCCTGCAAGGCGTTGGGGCTCACCGCCCGGCAGCGCAAGTGGTGGAAGGACAAGGCCCGTTCTTTTCGCCTGGCCCCAGGCACTGGCAAGCTGCAGGTCCGCGCGGAGTTTCAGGGCTACGGACGCAAATCCACGGAGGCGCTTTTGGTGTATCCTGACTGGCTGACGGTAGTGCCCGCCGGTGACGAACCTGAAAAGCAACGCATCGCGGCCCTTGCCCACTTGCGATCCCATGGGGGGGTAGATGCGACCGCGGCGGGCATCCAGCAACTAGGTTTCACATGGTGCGGCTTCAAGGAAAGTGCCCGGCAGGCAGTGCAGGCGTGCGAAGCTTGCGCGGCAAACGAAGAAACGGCGCCAAGGCAGCAGGACAGCTACGCCAGTTCCACACTGGCGGCGCTTGGGGACCCCGCCAACGAATCGCTGCGCCCCTTCGCCTATCCTGTGGAAAAGTGCCCCGCCTCCCGTAACCGCAACCACACGCGGCGCGCAAATCTAAGAGAGGGCGCCAAGCTACACAGAGCGCGCCGGCTTTTTTTAGTGTTGCACGCAGCGGCGCGCTGCGGTTATTGTGGGGGGCTACTTTTTCGATGTATATGTGTTGGGCCGGAATAGATTGCATCATCTGCACCCCTTGCGAGAATTCGGCCCACCGCGGCAAACACGTGGGCACCAAGTTCGTCGGTTGTCTGAACATGTGCTGCCTCACCACCGGCGCCGTGTGTTCCAAACTGCTAACAAGCTTCGAGGCCGAAGAAGTAAAGCAAGCCTATCTGGATATGGTGGAGGAGCACGGGGTCCCGGATCATCTGAACATTGACAAGGGTACCGAGCTGCAAAAGATCAAAGACTGGAGCCAGTGCACGTGCTTGACCCGAGACCACCGCTGCGCCACTTTTGTGGCAGATAGCGCCGCGGGGCCAGCGTTTCGCACGGACATCCGGGAGAGCCCCCGGGCGCATCCACAATCCAACGGGGCCATCGAGTCCTATAGTGGGCAACTGAAGCAACAGCTCCGAAAGAGGGGCGGGGAAGGCGATTGGGTGCGACACCACACGGCGTGCGTTGCTGCCCTGAATCGCCGCACCACCAGAAGCCGGCGCATTCCGGCTGCCAGGCATTTGGCGACGTTTCTGCGGCCCCTGCGAGATGTAACCGAAGCCACCCTTCACCCCGTGCCGCGTGCGCCCCCGAAGATCGTTGGCAACAGCGAAGCCAGCGCAGAAGCAGAAAAGAAAAACGGGCCGCAAGCACAAGTGGCGGAGCCGGTTGGGCGGCAGGGGGAAACAAGCAGCGACGACGCAGCGGACAGCAGCGACAACGCGGGAAGCGACCCCGCCGCAAACACGCTGCGCAGTTCCCTTAAAATGAAGGCGCTCACGAACCGGAAGCGCTTTTTCCAACTCCGCGGCGATGCCAGCAGGCTCAAGGACATCAAAAAGCTTAAAATTGGGGAACGCGTTTTGTGCCGAAACCGCCAAAAAGGCCCCGGGCTCGCAAAAAAATTCTTGGGTCCGTACGTCGTTACCAAGCTGAAGCCGCTGGGCATTGATGCCCGCAGCGACGGCGTGCTAGCTGGCAAAAAGCGGGAGACGTCGTTAAAAGATGTCCCATGGAAGGATGTGAAGCGCTGCCCCGACGGGCTCGAAAGCCATGCGGCACCAAAGCCGCCGCCCCCCAACGCAGTCCCGCCCACCGCTGTGCCGCCTTCGGCGCCCATGCAGCCACGCGCACCCGCAGGGCCCCCGGCTACAGCAGCGCCTTCCGGAACAGGGGGCGACCTTTCGGCCGTCGTTGCCGTGGACCCCGCAATGGAACGCGTTTTCGGAACGGGCTCACTGCCATTGCTATGCCATGCCAATTTACCGCGCCGCGTTTTCTTTGTGGCGCCGCGCGCCCATTTGCATGCAGAGACCCGTCCTACCCAGCGGGCTTGCTTGCGTCTCTTTTTTCGCTTTTGGTACACAGAAAAACGCTGCCGCGGCAAAGTGGCACGGCATACCCGCAAACAAACGCCTACGCCGACGTTGCTGAACTGGAAACGGCAGGCCCGCGACAAACCCCAACGAACATACGCGGGTCCGTTAGTCGGGTCGAGGCTGCTACGCGCGGCATTCGGATTCGCATCGAAGGGGTCACAGGGGTCAGCATCATCTGGCGCATCTATGAAGCGGCGCCCATGGCGTGGTGGCGTGCGCAGCGGTGCCCTTGCGTTGTGTTCATCCCGCTGGCGCTCACCAGAAACTTCCAGGGGGGCCAGTTTCTGCGAATGCCAACAACTTGGCGCACTACTGCAATCGAGCCGCGCGCCCCGCCGGAGCTGCAAAAGCTTCACCGCATGGCCTCCACGTCTTCGGCTTCGGAGGGTCGCCGGTCCTTGTCTGCGTTTAAAAATGTAGAAGCTTAGCCCCTTCGTCTCTTTTCTTGTGTTGAAAATTGCGCCGGGGCAAGTGTCTTTACGCTATTTCGCTTTTTTTTTATCATATTGCCACTTTTGCTTCTCATAGCATGTGCTGCACTTCTCCAGGCTCAGACAGCTATATTTGCGGTTCATACTACACTTCTTCTGTTTGTGTCGTTCTTCTTTGTTTCTTCCTACGTTCGTTTAGTTATTGTGTAGCCCTTTGTTTAAAAGATATCGACACAGCACGAAGTGCAGCGCACCAAGCAAGTTGATTTGTTGCCTCCGCTTCGACCAACCTGCCCGGCAGCTGCACTTCCAAGACCCCACGCGCACAGTTTTTTTGCATTTACTGTTTCCGTTTTGTTATTGTTTCCTTTTCTTTCACATTCAGCTACTAGCTTCTTCGAGTATAGTTTGCCTCTTTCGTATTGTCTGCTTTATTGTCGTACTCGTTCTGCTGTTCTTTATATTTTCGCTAGAAAAGTTAACTTCTGCTTCGTTTTATCTTGTTCTCGTTGCAACTACCGATGCAACGCTGATAACAACAGATCGCGCTCCGTGCGCGAAAGCACAGGCTTTCCTTCCTCATTTCCATTTTTGTCATGCAAGCTGCGCGTCGCAGAGTCTTTCTCTAAATCTGCTCACGCCACGCTTGCTCAGAATCCCTTACCTTTTTACTTTTTCAGCTTTTTCTGGTGCTCCCCTGCGCTATATCATCGAGCGGCTGCGCTAAGCTGCATTGATTTTTTACGTTGAATTGCTTCGGGGTGCGACAATTCAGAGAGCTCGCCATTGTTTGGGATTTGGTAAATATACGACGAAAGGGTCAAAAAGGTGAGCTTTAAGGGATTCGCTTGCTGTCGTGTTCTTGCTTTGAAAACGCTGGCTCGGTATACGATACGCTGTAAGCTTCGCTCCGCTTTGCTTTCCTATTCTGCTACAACTCAGTCTATACGACAATTCAGTGGACTGCATGCATGTCATGCAGTATACACCTAGACCCTGCAGCAGAAAGATTCATGCCCGTTTATATGCATGACAAAAAGTTTTCATTTGTGAACTCCGCATCACAAGTTTTTGCAACTTTCGGGGCGGGGGCATTTTTCACTGTAATACCAAGCCGAAGAAAATCAAGAAGGAAACCAGAGACAACCAGATCACCTCCAACCGCATTCCGGTTTACCCCATCTGGGGCAAGGAGGAGTTCCTGAAAACAGCGGCTTTTGCCTCGGACAAGAACCAAGCCATCATAGCGCTCTCCTCCTGCATTTCCTTTATCCTCGATTTCAGTGGCTTAGTATGAGAGTGCACAACCCTCCCTCCCCCCGATCTGTCATGCAAAGTACCTAATTTACTCCTTGCTCGTTGTAAGCCCTTTTTAGCATGACAAATTTTGGAAGTACCTCAAATAGTACTACAATCCGCATGCAGATTTGTCATGCGAAAGCCCCTTTCCTGCTGTTGCTCGTATTGCTGTTCATGCAATGCAAATGAGGAGGAGGGGGAGTTGTGTACTCTCATACTTGGGCGTGTTTGCTGTTACCACGGAGGACATCCCGAAAATCACGAAACCGCTGTTGTGGGTCGAGGATTTGCCGAACCTGGTGGAGTATGCATTACAAAAGTACCGTACTGCGTATTGATTGCATCACAAATTTTTTCAGAAAGGAAAATGGAATTTGTAATGCTGATTTAGGTAGAAACAGTCGATTTGTCATGCAGTGCTGCGATTGGTACGAGCGCGCTACTTATTTTGCATTCGATATGGAGGCGTTCGTCATAGAACAGGCTAATGCGCAGGCCGGAGGTGGAGAAGGGAGCGGGGGTATGGAGAGAATTTTTTGTGAAGAGACAGATTGATTGTAGAGGAGCTGTAGAAATAGCAGGGAACTTATGAATTCAAGATGAGTCAAGAAGATGCTTCTGCTCGTGATTGCAGTGACCCACACATGATTTCTTGATCTCCCGTGAAGACCGTGGTGTTATGTTTGCAGATTTATTTCACGTCGTCTGCATGATGCGTGCTTTCTCCTTGACGTAGCTGTGCAGCATCACAGCGTCCTTATGCTACAAGAGGTCGATTGAAATTATTTTTCCTTCCATACCAATCGAGGACCTCGAGCTTCTGGGAGGGACCAGTGCTGGCGCTCTCGGTATAATTCTGCGATATGATTCTGCAATTGCATGTTTGATGTACTACTTACTCGCACATCATGTTGCTCCTCATGCAAGATATTACCCACGCATACTTCGCATGATGAAAAACCAATCTTAAAAAGCCGCACCAGCATGACAAATAAAGATCTCTATCACAACCAAACCCCAGGTGGTGCTGGCGACAACCTACTCTACACCGCGGACCAGAAACGCGCGAAAAAGCGTCTTGCGTTGAAAGGCGGCTTCGCCTGGAACGCGCCCGCCCCGGAGGCCTACGCCATCGTGCACAAGAAAACCGCTTTGAAGGCCCGGAACAAGCTCGACCAGTGGTTTCCGAATCTCGCCGCCAACATGAAGTATCGCAGGAAAAAGTGTTAACGTTAACGGTTTTCACAGATTGCAGGCATGCATCACAAATGTCGCCCAATATGCATGCTATGCATTACAAATCTCGGCATCTTTTGTGATGCATTGCTGCATCACAAATTCCGTTAACGTTAACACTTTTTGCTGTGATATGAAACCCATGGATTTCATCGCAACCGGGTTTCTGGCCAACTTCGTCCTCTATCCTGTGCAAAAGTATCGTGCTCGTGTTGCAGTCTTGCATTACAAATTTTTTTCTTGAGGTAGATCAGCATTCCAAATTTCATTTCTCATGCTGAGGAAATTTGTAATGCATTTTTTATACGAGTGCGATGCTTTTGCATTGCATATCCTCTGGCTCGAAGCCCTGTACGCGAGCCCCTACATCTGCCTCCGGCACACGGCGACAGTAGTCGCCGGGTCGGTTTTGTCGGAGATCACAAAGATCCTCGCGGATCTGGAGCAACAGCTAGACATAGCCTTGAAACAGTACAAAAACGAGGAAAAAAACAGCAACTCGCTTCGGAAGGACTTTTTGAAGAAAGAAATCTCCGAGAACAGCGGCCTATCGGACCAACTGGTGAAGGCAAGGGACCATCTTCTCCGGAATTTCAAGCAAACCCGTATGAACTGCAAAAGCGTCGTACTCGTATAAATGCATTACAAATTTCTTCAGCATTAGAGAGAAAATTTGTAATGCTGATTTGCCTTGAGATAAAAATTTGTAATGCACGACTGCAATACGAGTGGGATTATACTTTTGCAATTCATAACCCGGCTGAAGGACCAAAACGAGAAGATCCGGTTCGAAGCGGTGTGCGTCATGAAGCGGGTATCGTGAGAAAAAACCATTTCAGTCTCAACTTGTAATGCGCAACTTGCTTGAGTAGACAGTTTGTCATGCTCGACACGCAAGAACAATAAAGTCGTTTTCTCTATGTGGGTTCATCCCTTGTGAAGACTGACCACGCATCACAAGTTTTCCGTGTCATGGTCTGCAAATTTGTATTGCTAAGTCTGCAAACAGGTCTGAGACTGGCACAGTTTTTTCTGGCCATAGCGGGTGGTCAGCAGGGATCTTTCCCTCTTCGACGAGGACTTAGCCCGGGTTTTGGAGTGTTTACTCGTCGATCCGGATTATCAAATGCAAAGAAGTCTGGGTCTGGAAAGTTGGAACTTGTGAAGTAACTTTGGACTCTAAAAAAATCTGTATTGCGTGACCAGCAAGACGAGCCACGTTTGTGCTACGCGAGGAGGGCACTATTTGTCATGCGGAAATGGCATCAGGAAGCCTTCCACAAATCTGTGATGCTGGGTCATGCATTACAAGCATCATGGGTCATGCCAGACAAGCATGAAAAGCCTTGCATTCTTCCGGACCCAGACATTTTTGCATTTGATCCAGACGCGGGTGTGCGGATGAAATTGCTGGAGATGGTGGAAGATTGGGTGATATCCTGTGCAAAAGAATTGCACTCGTATAAATGCAGGTCTTGCATTACAAATCTGGTTCCCAAGGCAAATCTGCATTACAAATTTTATTTCTCATGCTGAGGAAATTTGTAATGCATTTGTACGAATACGATACTTTTGCAGTTCATAGATGAAAATGTACGAAAAAGATAGAGAAGCGATGGCAATGTACTGCGAGCAGGTGAAGGAAAAATACGGCGATGACCCGGGCCGCATGGAGCTTCTCACGATGGGCAACAACGGGGAAGAGGTCGTCGACGAGGAGCTGGGATACAGTTTATGAACTGCAAAAATATCCTCGTACTACTAGTTGCGTCTATGCATCACAAATCTTTCTCTTACGGGAAATTCGCATCACAAATTCAGTTTGTGATGCTGGGTCATCAAAAATAAATGCAATTCATACTTCTAGTACCAATACGATACTTTTGCAATGCATACAGTTCCGGCGAAGACGATTTCCAAACGTCAAACAACGAAGAGGACAGCAATATGCTGTGCAAAACAAGTATCGCACTCGTACAAGCTGTTGTGTTTATGCATTACAAATCCACTTCTTAAGCTGAATCCGCATGACAAGTTCTTCAAGTTCCATTTGTCATGCTGAGCTAGTAATCTGTAGTGCAATATTACGAGTACGATGCTTTGGCATAGGATATGCAACGATCCGAACCAGCAGAACCAAAACCAGTCCCTCCTGGCTTTGAAGAAGCGGCAGCGCCAGGAGTTGTTGCAAGGAGGCCCCTATGCTGTGCAAAAGTATCGTACTAGTAAGTAGTAATTGCAATACAAGTTCGCTCAGCATGACAAATGGAATTTGTCATGCTGATTTGCCTTGGGAACAAGATCTGTAATGCATGACTGCAATTACTACGAGTGCGATACTTTTGCAGTTCATAGCCCCCGGCACTTCTGGAAACGGTTGCAGTCGAGAAAAATGTTCAAAAAATGGATCCGAAAGTCTATGACTTGCTCAAATCGGTTACCATCTCAAATCGGTTACCATAGAACCTGGAATTTGTGTTGCATGATGAGCAGGACAGACTCGCACAGCGTTCCACCTTTTGCAATACAAATTTCGCCAGATTATAGTTGGGTTTGGCACAACTCCGGAACTTGTCATGCGCAATCCTATGAGAGTTGGCTAGATCATGCACTCTTGCATCACAGATTTCCATATTCTATGGTAACCGATTTGAGATTGTAACACCTGAGCGGGTTATAAAGTCGATGAGACACATCAGTTATGCATCTTCGCAAATGGAGGTAATGTATAGCACAAGCACAAATTTTTGCATCAGAAGAAAGATTTCGATTCATCCCGCACTGATGAAAAGAGATGCAGTTTGTCATGCTGAATAAGTTTGAGAACAGCAATTTTTCATGCAGTATTTTCGCAATTCGTGCTTGTGCGATACAACAAACTCAAACATTCGCGTTGGATACCAAAGAACGGTGTGGCGACGTCGAGGAGAAAGTCGCGATACAGGCGGTCAGGACCGTTACCCTCCGGTGGATCGCGGAGCGATTCCTGACCGATACCGAGTTTGACGCGGTGGTGTGCTTGGTCTTTTGCGGCCGAACAGTGAAAGTCCGGAAACAGGCGGCGCTGTTTGTGAATTCGCATGTGTTTTCGGAACCGGGCATCGAGGATTTGGTAGATCACAGCAGCGACACCGGGCTGGATCAGCTCAGGCTGGAAGACGACAATCTTGTGGGGGACGGTTCTGGGAATGAGAATATCAACTGTAAAAATGTCTCGGTCTGGAAGGATGCGAACTTGTGATGCGAGTTGCGGATCATACAAAGATCTGTGTTGCATGACTGGCAAAAGGTGCTCACTTCTGGCCATGCTGAGAGGGTATTTCGCATGCAGAATAGGCATCGCGAAGGGACTGCATTCCAGACTTGACAGAGCTTGGAAAAACTGCATGACAAATTTCGGAATCTTCCCGACCCAGACATTTTTGCAATGCATAGAAAATTTTCTCTCCAACTCCGACAACGAAGTGAGGCAGCAGCTGCAGCAAGCGTCCTCTGCCAACATATCCTGTGCAAAAGTATGGTACTCGTATAGATGCAGGTCTTGCATTACAAATATTATTCGCATCGTAAATCAGGATGACAAATTTTATTTCTCATGCTGAGAAAATTTGTCATGCATTTATACGAGTACGATACTTTTGCAGTTCATACAACAGTAACGCCAACAAAGTGAAAAAAATGAATCCCACGGAAACGAATCTTCTGATGTTCCTGGAATTTCTTGTTACTTACTGCGAGGACGCCGTGGAGGATCCCGACCAAGAGACCTCGAGGACGACGCAGTACGTATCCTGAGCAAAAACGTTCCCAGCGCCCCAGAGTTCTTGTCAGGCAGATTTGCAACTACAGGAACTGAAGAACATTTGTGATGCGCCGTTAGTACCTGAGAAGCATTTCTACTTGAGTAGTTTCAGCATTTGTAATGCTGTCAACAGGATAAGTGCGCGTTTTTGTGATGCGGTTGTCCTTACTAACCAACACTACAATGCACTGGCAAACTTGTCATGCGCGACTCGCAAAGCTTGGGGATTTGTGTTGCAGGGTTCCCAAATACTTGACTACGGGGCCGCGGGGGCGTTTTTGCATAGGATAGTACGGCGCGGCCATCTATGCGGTCCAGGCGTATTGGAACCGCACAAGCTGTATGAAATGGAAGTATGTCTGGGTCTGGAGGAGTGCAAGACTTGTCATGCAGATTTTTCATGACCCATGATGCCTGTAATGCATCACCTAGCACCACTGATTTTTAGAGGCCTTCCTAATGCCTATTCCGCATGAGAAATACCCCCTCCATGTAACAGAGGACAGAAAAAGAAAGAGAAGAAAGAAAATGGTCCTTTTGGTCGTCTCAGCTAGCCCGCAAGGGCTCCGTTCCCGCCAGCTGAAAGGCACGGCGCTGCTCATCATCTCGTCCCCGCCAGCCGGTAGGCACGGCGCTGCTATCCTGTCGTCGTCGTCGCGTCCTTTTTTACTTGAAAGGGGAAACAGGGTTGCTAAGTTAAAGACTGCGCTAAGGCAGCGCCCCCCTTCCCAAAGGGGTCCCCCCGGGGCGGGCGCGGTGGCGGCTCTGCTAACGCGGAGCTTCAAAGTCCGACTCTACCTATGCGCATGCAAAGAGTGCGCGGAAATAGGTCGGCAAGGTGCTTGAAAGGGGTATGCTTTGGGGTTGTCCGTCATCGTGATAGGGTCAACGTGTGTGACCAATAGACCCCCTGTATATCTAGCGCGCAACCGACCACAGAAGCAGTAGCGTTCAACGTTTGTAAGAATAACCCAACAAGGCAACACTGGAGCTCCACCTTGCTCGCGGGCTTGGATGGTAAAGCAGGTCAGCCACATCTAGCGCCCACTGGCCGTACGCACGCGTAAGCAATCGGAGACGGTTCGGCGGATGCGGTCGGGTGGTACCTGTAGGACGTGGAACGGGTGCCCACCTAGGGCATTGGCAGAGGCTAAATCTGTTCTAGCGCCACGGTATTGGCAGAGGCTAAATCTGTTCTAGCGCCACCCTGACAGGAGTCAAATGTCAAAGCGATGCGATGCGATACATGTAGCACAAACTGGACCCCTCTTGCTGATCATGCAATACAGGTTTTCTTAGAATGCAGAGACAGCATCACAAGTTGCAACCTTCCAGACCCAGATATTTGCAATGCATAAGCTGCATCACAGCTTTCAAAACCCAGGTCGCGATGTTTTTCCTATCCGAAGACAACACGGAGGAGGATGCGGATATGGATGTGTCAGAGTTGAAATCGACAGAGTTGAAATAATTTGTCATGCATAAACTGCGATACAAAAAGTGACTCTATTGCAGAGGACCCACGGGAGGCAGAGTATAGTCCTCGTAAGGGTCAGAAGTTGGACTGCTAACTAGCATGATAGAAGGCAGCACCTTTGCCCTAAACCACGTGACAGACTCGCTTCCAGGACCGCGAAAATTTGTCATGCACCGACTACAAACTGTAGGTCTAACTGGTATCCGTTTTATGCATGACAAACTATTTCAACTTTGACGATTTCAAACCTGACACATCCATAGCGGACGTCAACCCTTTAACGCTGCGGAAGAAAGTCGCTTTGCTCGTGACGATGGAAGCCGCATTATTGTGAGGAAAAATGTCCCCACGCCATAGTCAAGATGGGAAATCTGCAACACAAACCCGGAAGTATTGGGAGTCACTCATGACAAGCTCCCCTCTGTATTGTAGTGCAATGTCGCAAGGACAGCCGCATCACAAAGCCATCTCCTCATCCTATTTGCAGCATCACAAATTTTTGCAAAACCCGACTGGAAATGGCTCTCATGGGGATGCGCATTACAACAAGCCTTCTTGTCTTTGCAAATCTGCATGAGACGTTTTTACTCAGGATACGCATTAACCATACTCCAACAGACACACCAGGCGGACATCCAAAAGTTGCAGATCGACCAACTGACAAGGGATATCAAATGCAACAATGTCTGGGTCTGGAAGAATGCAAACTTGTGATGCTGCATTTGGATTCCAAAAAAATCTGTATTGCATAAGCAGCAAAGGGAATGCAATTTTGGCTACGCCGAGAGGGCATTTGTCATGCGGAATAGGCATCGCGAAGCCCTCAAAAAGTCTGTGATGCTCGGGCATGCATCGGAGACATGATCGCCTATGCAAAACGTGCATGACAAGTCTCAGAAATTTCCAGACCCAGACATTTTTACATTTGACAAGAGAAAAAGAGGAGCAACAGAACAAGGGCTTCAATGCCGCCGGCCCGGTAAACTATCAAATGTAAAAATGTCTGGGTCTGGAAGAATGCAAGATTTGTGATGCAGGTTTTCCATGACCCGTGAGGTCTGGAACGTGAGACCCAGCATGACAGATTTTGTGAGGTCTCTATCATGCCTTTCCTGCATGAGAAAATTCCCTCTCAACTTAGTCAAAAGCGGACAGCTTTTGGTACTCACACAACACAGATTTTTGCATCATTCAGATTTAGCATGACAAGTTCTAACCTTCCAGACCCAGACATTTTTACATTTGATATAAACAGCACCGTCACGATTCCCTCCTCCTTGACAAACCAACAACTGTGCCAGGCGTGCTTTTTCGTGTTGCCGAAGTTGCCGCAGTTTTTCGACAGTCTCGCTTCGGAGAAGTACGGAAAGCTGATTTTTAGCAACATCTGCGAGATTCTGTTGAGACACATGCTGGAGAACCCGGACAAAGTGCCGAGTTCGATACTAGCGTCCAACATGTCCGACGTTGTCGATGCGCTGGAGAACATCTTGGAGGAACAGGGGGCGCAGAACAACAATCCCCTTCTGTACGGAAACATCTCCAAGTGCTACCGTCACCTGGCCCTGATCAGCCGGGAAGCAGCGGACGCATTGGGGACGTATTTGCGGAACAAGCAGGAACACTTGAAAAGTTTCCTGGACACCTACTGCACCAGCCCACCAGCGGATTTTGTGGAGGACGCAAGTCCTGTGGACGGTGAGGAGGACCTGCAGCACGCCGACAACTACGACCCGGCAGGAGGTATCCAAGCCGCACAAAAAAAGTGTACAAAGTGAAAGTTTGTGATGCGGACGATGCATCAACACAGTCGTGCGTGTCATGTTGATGCTGGATATGCGTCCCACGGATTCTAGACTAGTTTCATGACCTCTGCAAAAAAGCAAAAAGAATATCGTGATGCTGCTCAACTACATCAAAATAAACAAGTTACTTGCACTGTACACATTTTTTTTCTTTGATAGCAGGAGCAGTAGCAGCAGAAGCAAATGTCGTGAAGCAAAATAAATCCAGAAAGCCAAAAGGACCGCGGCTGAACCGGGTAGACCAGTGGCTGAAGGTGAATTTTCTTGACCCGGACGCCCCCATGAATTTGGATGGGGAAATAGAGCAGGTACAGCCGGTATGGATTGTACAAATGTCTTGGGCTGGAAGATTGCAACTTGTATGTAATGCTAAGATAAAATTCTGGATTGTGCAAAAATCTGTGTTGCATGAATGCCAAAAGTTGTCCACTTTTGATCAAGTTGAGAGGAAGTTTTTCATGCAGGATAGGCATGATAGGGCTCATCTCCCAGAATCTGTCATGCTAGGGCCTGCATTTTTCCAGAAGACATGGATCATGACACAGCTGCATGAAGACAAGTCTACCAATTATCTTCCAGACCCAGACTACACTTTTACATTTGATAGCCGGGACAGGTAGCGTTGCAGTATCCAGCGAGAACGTTCGAGTTGATGCAGTACGTGGAGCGGGTATCGTAAGGAAAAATCCCCCGCCCTCCCCGTATTGAAAGCGTAACTCGCAAAAAAATTGTGATGCAGATTTGTGGCCACAGATCCTGTCTGTCTTGCAGGAAAGCAAACGCAGAGTGTCCGCCGCGTTAATTATGCAGTCGATTGGTCATGCTGTGAGGCCTACGGGGGAGACGCCTGTCATGCTAGCCGCCTACACCAAAATAAAGCCCCAGCCTAGGTGTGCGATCTGCGTGCAGTCCTCTCCTGCGAGACAGAGTCGATTTGTGTACACAAATCCCGCGTCACAGATTTCCGCTTTGATATGGGGAGGGGGGATTTTTTCTCTCAATAGCACGCGGTGGAAATTCACGCGCACTTGGGGTGCTTTCTGAACCACGATCTGATCCAACAATTATTCTCCCTTCTCCGCTTCACGTCGGTGAATCGCTTACCGAGGCAGTTGCTGATCCCCCTGGCGAAATTGGTGCAAGTAGGTCTAAACCACTTCGTCGTCCAGGCAACCAGCGGGAAAGTGGAAAGCTTTAAAGAGATGAAGGAAAACGCAAAGGAACTGAAGAAGTCGAACTCACCATCCAGAGCCGGCGGTTCCGCGAGTCCTAAGATGAAGAAGAAGATGAACAAACCAAACATCACAGGCGGTGCGACGATCATTTCTGCACACGATGAGATTGACAAGAGGAACAACCCGCTCGCTTTTTTCTCGAACTACGTCGAAGATGAGAAAACGCCGCACTTCCGCAGTGCGAGGATCATCGACGCGCAGTACACCGTATGCATTGCAAAAGTAACATCGCATTGTACATAACAAGAATCGCATGAGAAATTTCCTCAGCAGGATGAGAAACGGAGTTTGTAATGCGTCCTCCCCTATAGCAAAGAGATCTGTCTTGCGTGAAGACTGCGCTTTGATGTATGGATGCGATGAGTGCTTTTGCAATGCATACACCGCTTCATCCTCCGCGAGGGTGAACCAACACTACGCGGTATCGCAAGAAAGAGTGTTACGGTTAACGGAATTTGTGATGCAGTAATGCATCAAGAAAGGCAAAGTGCCCAAATTTGTATTGCGTAGCATGCATGGAATGCAAATTTTGTAATCCATGACCGCCATCGCATCTGTGAAATCCGTTATTAATGTTATACATTTTTTTGTTTGATACGCGGACGTGATCTTGGAGTTGAACAACGGAAACTTGTTTTTCCTCAACAGCCGGCAGATTATGAACGCCTCAGGTTGGAAATCCTCAAAGTGAAAATAGTTTGTAATGCAAAAAAAGGACACCAGTTGAAGTGCCATTTCTAGTCGGCGCATGACAAACTTGCCGGGCACTCAAAGCATGTCTGTCATGCTAGTTAGGGCAAAGGGGTGCCCTTCTCTCGTGCTGATCAGCAGCCCAATTCTGAACCCGTAGAGGCACAATAGTCGGCTCCCACTGCGCCCTCTGCAATACAGTCGCTTTGGTGTCGCATTTCTTGCATCACAAACTACTTATTTCCACTCTGAGAATTTCCATTCTGAGGCTTTCATACAGATGGACGACTATTTAGAATCCGAAATCTCCGCGATCACTGCGCAGGGCCACTCGGAACGGAATCTCGCCTACACGATTTTCGAATTTCGTCATCTCCTCATCACCCGATTGTTGAAAAAGCACCGGGACGTGTATGTGAAACACCTTATCCAGAGTAAAAACGTCCCCGCCCCAGAGTCAAGATGGGGAATCTGCTAGACAAGTCCACAAGTTTTGGGACTGGTGCATGACAAGTTTGGGGACATGCAGTATAGTCCTGCTTAGGTAGCCCAGACGCATCGCAGATCCACTCTCTCATCCTGATTCGCGCATTACAGATTAGGATTACCAAACACGGTTAGAAAATGCCCGCTATGCGGAGCCGCATTACAGATGTTCCGGGCATGCAGGTTTGCATGACAACTAAGGGGCGGAGACGTTTTTTGCTCAGGATACACCTGGCGGTCAATTTGTACTTCGACAGCCTACAGATGCATATGCACTGCCAAAGTATCGTACCCGTAGCCGTACTAATTGCAATTATGCACGACAAATCTTGTCCTTAAGGTAAAACAGCATCACAAATTCCAGTTCTCACGGTGAGGAAATTTGTAATGCATTTGTCATACGAGTAAGATACTTTTGCAGTTCATAATGCAGTATTCGTTGCAGAACGTTCTCCGGATGGATCCGATCTTTTTCGAAGACCCGGCTATGTCGACCGGGGGCATGAATTTCCAGGAGGACGAGTCCACGGCGGGGAACAACGCTTTGAAACAAGTGTGCCACCGCCTGCACAAAACCTTTCAACAGCAGGGGAATGACGAGGACGATATCGATGAAAATGTCATCAAGTCAAAGGACGATGTTCCGGTGAACATTCCAAAATTGTCCGCGAACATGCGATATCCTGTGCAAAAGTATCGTACTCGTATAAATGCCAGACTAGCGTGACAAATCTGGTTTCTTAGGTAATTTAGCATGACAAATTTCATTTTATTTCATGTTGAGCTAATTTGTAATGCAATAGCAATTTATACCAAGTGCGATTCTTTTGCAGTTCATATGCGACCCTTGTACATCAGCTGGCGAAGACGGGTGAAAGATCGGGATATCCAGATCCAGGGGAGGGCGTTTGGCAGGAAAAGCACGGCGAAAAGGAAATTGAATTTAATGGGGGAAGAGGAAGAGGTATTTGATAATTGTTCATTGATACCTTTACGTGGAAACCCTTCCGTCACATTTGAGTTTCGCATGACAAAATTGGTTATCATGTGTGATGTTGCTCACATGCGTAATCCTGATTCTGAGGAAGAGGGAGTTGTAATATTGCTGTATATCCAGTTGATACACACGACATCAATACCACTACAGGCCGGCGGCACCACCTCCGACAACAATTATCCTGTGCAAAAGTATCGTACTTGTAGTAATTGCAATCATGCAATACAAATCTCTCTCTGAAGGCAAATCTGCATTACAAATTCAATTTCTCATGCTGAGAAAATTTGTCATGCCATTTATACTAGTACGATGCTTTTGCAATGCATAACAATCCCAACACGACTACAGAGGAAGAGCTGGAAGCGGAATTTCAATATGTCTGCATGAACCCGGTTCTTGTCTACGAGGACCACGAGGTACTACTCTGGATATCAAGTGCAAATATTCCTGGATGTCTGGAAGATTCCCAGGCTTGTCATGCATATTTTGAATGACCCGCGATGTCTGTAATGCATGCCCTAGCATGATTGATCACAGATGTTTAGCGGGCTTTGCGATGCATCCACCGCATGAGAAATAATAATGATGCCCTCTCCGCGTAGGAGAAAGAACTGGAGTCGTCTTGCTGGTCGTGCAATACAATTTTTTTTAGAATCCAAACACAGCATCACAAGTTTAGAATCTTCCAAACTACCCGAACATGTTTGCGTTTGATATTGGACGTATTTTTACAATCTTTTCCTGGACATCAAGGACCGGATCCAAACCCACATATCCTGTGCAAAAGTATCTGATACTCGTATTGCGATCATGCATTACAAGTTTTTTTCTTGAGGTAAATCGGCATTACAAATTTTTTGAGTATTTGATTTTATTTCTCATGCTGAGGAACTCCGAACTTTGTAATGCTAATGCATGTATACCTACGAGTACAGCGATACTTTTGCAGTTCATACCACACCATGGCCGACTACCAAGCGAAGCTGCGGATAACGCAGGAGATGGTATCCTGTGCAAAAGTATCGTACTCGTATTGCAATCATGCGTTACAATTATTTTCCCTAAGGTGAATCAGCATTACAAATCTTATTTCTCATGCTGACGAATTTGTGATGCATTTTCATTTATACAAGCGAAGCACGATACTTTTGCAATTCATAGATGGTGAAATGTGACAAAATCACTTTCCCGTCGGAGGACAGTTTAGAGTCCTACATCCCGCTATCAAATGCAAATATGTCTGGGTCTGGAATAAAGAATGAGATTTGTGATGCTAGCTGTCGATCACACAAAGAACTGTATTGCAAGAAGAGAGGCAAAAGTAAAAGACACTCAGACTGTTTCCACCCGGACAACGAGAGGGCACAACTTCTCATGCAGGACAGACACGGGCAGACCTTTGCGAAAGCTGTGATGCTGGAGTACTATGCATCACAGGCATTGGGAGCCATGTACAATTCGCATGACAAACTCCCCAAACCTTCCAGACCCAGACACATTTGCATTTGATACCCACCGCAGGAGTCCGGAATTCGGTCTGTCACCCGGTCAAACCTCGCCGGGGAAGACTACTACACGGTTATCCTGAACAAAAGTATCGTATTCGTACTAATTGCAGTGATGCCAGACAAATTTCTTTTTCATGCTAAATCAGCATGAGAAATTCCGTTTGTCATGCTGAGCTAATTTGTATTGCAATACTACGAGTGCGATGCGTTTGCAATGCATAACGGTAATAGAGCACTTATTCCATAAAGCGTGTATGAAGCACACGTCAACCCACGAGGGCATGGTCGCGAACCAGTACATCCCGGAGAACGCGTTTGAGCCGAAATACAACCCGGAGTCCGACTCCCAGACCGCGGACCCCACTTACGTGAAGCAGGACGCGGGCTTGTGCGGGCTGCGGGATCTGCTCACCATGGGGCTGTCGTCGATAAAACTGGTCGACCAATCCTGCGAATCCGATCACATCAAGAACGGCCCGATTGGGCAACTCATCGGCGCGCAGTTTGGGGTGTTGCGGATGATTCCCGCGATCAAGGAGGCGAGTAAGTCTCTATTCCAGAAAATGCGGAAGGAAGCGGACAAAAACCCGGTGCTGGCGAAGCAGTATTTCCACTTCATAAGCACTATGCTCGGGTGGATTTTGGAAATGAGCGGAGAACACGCGTACATGGACATCCGCCAGTCCATGATCGAGATCACGCGGACGTGGGTCGGGAGGGTCGGGGAAACGCAGTTGCCGGAACATTTGGTTTATGCATTGCAATTATAGTATCGTACTCGTATAAATGCAATACAAATATCGATTTCCTCAGCATGAGAAATAAAATAAAATCTGTCATGCAGAGTACCTTGAGAAAAAAGTTGTAATGCAGGACTGCAATTTTTACTACGAGTGCGATACTTTTGCACAGGATATGGCTACCGCGTTTCAGCGGTGTTTTGTAGAGTTACAGCTGTCAGAAGCGAACTGCTCCATCGGGTTGAACGGAGAGCAGGGCAACCCGATATGCTTTTGTGAAATCACCACAAGATCAACATGTAGTTGACCAACCTCAGTTTATTGTCAATTTACATAGCATGCGGTGCCACTTTACTTCATCATTTTATCTACATTCGCATGACAAAAAATGGAGGCACACAACTACAAGAAGTGCTGGTGTTGGAGGTGATTTTGTATTGCATAGCCGAGTTCCGGAATCCAATTCGACACAATGGACGTTGACTTACTCTACAACACGTTGCTCCCCTGCTCCCGGTATCCTGTGCAAAAGTATCGTACTCGTCGAGATGATCGCAGCTATGCATTACAAATCTTTTTCTCGAGGTAAATCCGCATTCCAGATTCCATGTCTCATGCTGAGGCAATTTGTATTGCAACTTATACTAATACGATACTTTCGCAGTGCATACCCGGTTCATGACCAAAGAATACCGCGGGAAAGTGGAAGAATTTCTCGGCCGGCAGATGATCAGTACCCACAGTAAATTTCCTGTACACGACGTACAAATGCTGTCTCTGCATGACAAAACTTGCCTTCGATCTTGGTCAGCATGACAAGTTTCTTGACGCTTTAAGTTAGCGAACTTTGTGATGCATTTTGCACATGTTGTACGGGAAATTTGTATTGCATAATCAGTCTGACGAGTCAAAAAACCATCGCGAAACTACGGGACTTGATCGAGAGATTGCGGCTCGGGCCGGGGCACGACGGAACGGGCTTGGGGGTGAAAGTGGGAAAGAAACGCGGGAGGTATCAAGCAAAAAAGTGTTAACGTTAATGGTTTCCAGAGATTGCAGCTACGGAAGACAGATGGGTCTTCCTAGAATGCATGCTATGCAATACAAATTTAGGCACCTTTTCTGATGCGGTCCTGCATGGCAAATTTCGTTAACGTTAACACTTTTTCCTGTGATAGGAGGAAAGCGAAGAGTATGGCAGGAATGGAACCGGATGTGATGGCGGCGCAAGGACAAGGAGCGGTATAAATACTGAATTAGAATTTTTGCTTTCATACAAGATCATTTTTTTCGTCCCCAGCACGCACCGTCCTCGGAGAGTTGGAGGTTTAATATTCAAGGTTCTTGTTTAGCATGACAAATTCCTGTTGCAATGTGTCGTGATGACATGATATACCATCACCAACAGTTTCTCCAAGGCGAGCCGGAGCAGCCCCAGCAGCAGAGGCATATTATGGACGAAGACGAGGATTTAGAGGCCGCGCCGGCGTATCCTGTGTAAAAACGTCCCCACCCCATAGTCAAGATGGGGATTTTGCAACACAAACCTAGGAGTTTTGGGAGTCACGCATGACAAGCTGCACTCCGTAGTGTAGTGCAGATTAGCAAGTGCAGCCGCATCACAGATCCATCTGCTTATCCTGTTCACAGCATCACAAATTTCAAAACACGATTGGAAATGCCTACCATGAGCATGCGCATCACAGATGTCCTTGTCGTTGCAAATCTGCATGACAGCTCTGGGGTGGGGACGTTTTTCCTCAGGATACGGCGCCAAAGAGGATTAGGCAGGGAAGGGACGTCGTTGATGTAGAGGAGGAGGGGGTAGCGGATGCAGGTGGTGGCAATGACGACGAGGATGACGGGAGGGGTCCAACGGTATCCCAGAGAAAAAAGCAGGCAGGGCACATTTGTGATGCAAAAATAAATACACAGAAAAGTCTTTCATGGGAGGCCCCGCCGCACGCTGTTTCGGATATGCGATACAGATTTTTTTGTGTATTTATTTTTGCATTACAAATGTGACCTGCCTGCTTTTTTCTGTGTGATAAACGGTAAGGCATGAAGACATCGTGGACGAGGAGGATGACCTGTTATGGGTGTGTCAGGATCGAAATCGTCAAAGTTCTTGAAATAATACGTAATGCATAGAATGCATGACGCGAGGTGCGTGTGTTGCAGAGCAGGCAAGTGACGCCGATTGTAAGCCTGTTCGAGCTGGTAAAGTAGCATTAGAAAGACAGTCTTCTTTGCCTAAGCAGCATGACAAACTGGATTTAGGGACAGCCAAAATTTGTGATGCACCGCTTAGAAATTGGGCTTCCAACTGGTATCGATTTTATGCATTACAAGTTATTTCTTGTATTTCAACTTTGTCGATTTCAAACCTGACGCTTCCATACCTGTTGGCGGATGAATACTTGCTGCCGCCGAGGTGAGGAATCGAACAAGGGATCGACGGCGGTTTTTCTTTTCTGGATTACCGTACAAGAAAAGCAAGTTGAAAACTCAGAAATTGGGCTTCTATCGACTTTCTCCAAAATTCAATAATCAAATTGTTCAGTAGAACACATTTACTTATTTTCATTGAAGTTACAACGAGCACGAAACCTAAGCGAGGTTACGTCGCTTCATGTTTATTTGATGATCAAACTGGTACCAACGTTGCCAGAAAATTGATTTTCTAATCAGCCTCGATTTGAAGAAAAAACTGCTGATTAGCATTTGTGAAGCTCAAAGTTCAATATCAACCACTTGTAAAAAATTTCGGACCACACCCCCCTGGTCGTAGTACCCAGCGCAGAAAAACTGAACACCAGTGAAGCCTTGTATCTAATCTGTCGTCACAGTGCTACTGCAGAAGAAGAGATGAAAAACGCATGTCTGGCGAAGCAGCTGACGTGTGCTCGCATTTGTGTACTTAATTATCAGGATTTCGGCCGCGCTGCAGCAGCAGCAAGTACTAGCGATATAATACTAGACGAGAGAGAAGCTGCTCATGAATCTCGTGTCGGTTTCGTTTAGCGATTGGCAGCTACCACGTCCTTTCGTTGCTGTTTTCGGTTTTTGAAGTTGTAACGAACCAGGAACAACTATTACTCGGAAGATCTTCGTTTGCGATTGTTGACAACGTCGCACGAGCGCCACTTTTGAAAGAGAGCACAACCGACAGCCGCAGTTCCGTCCTCATCTTTCGGAGGTTCGGTAAGCGTGAAGAAATGCTATCCGGCATCGGTCTTCGTCCGTTTTTCATCGATCTTCTCTCGACGTTGCCTTAACATTCCGACACGACAGGTCCCTTGTGTTTTGTTTCCCTGTTATCAATCAATATCACCTACTACTTTCGCAGTTTCTTCTTCTTTTTGCCAACGGCGACACATATTGATGTTGGGTGCTGGGTGAATATGAAGACAGTGACGATGTTGGTGACCTACTGGCTGAGATTGTAGTTGTCTCTCTCAGCTGCACAAAGTGTTGTAGTAGTACGCTTTCTGTCTAAGTAAAATCTTGAATACCTGCGAGCAGACCTGCGTATTATTTAACTACCAACCAGAAACCATGCCGGTGAAGATTCCCCGTACCTCCCGCTGGTACATGGCAGGCGGGACTCTCGTATCCAGTGCAAAAGTATCGTACTCGTTGTAGTAATTGCAGTCATGCATTACAAATCTCCTTTCCAAGGTAAAACAGCATGACAAATTTCATATCTCATGCTGAGCAAATTTGTCATGCGATTTATACTAGTACGATGTCGATGCTTTTGCCTTGCATATCTCGCCATCTCCGTTGCCCTCGCCGTCTCCGCCGTGGCTATTCAGAAGTACAGCAATGTGTGGAAATTTATGCTGCATCCTGTCTGCAACTCCATCGGGTTAGGTTTGATGGGCCTCGGAATACTGGAGCAGGGGAACGAGTCCAGGAATCACGTGATACTGATGAGCTTGGCCGGGCTGTTTTTCTTTCTTATCCTGAGTAAAAACGTACCCACCCCAGAGTTGTCATGCAGATTTCCAGTCACAGGAAGATTTGTAATGCGCATCCCCATGAGAGGCGTTTCCAATCGTGTTTTGGACTTTGTAATGCTCTAAACAGGATGAGTAGATGGATTTGCGTTGCGGCTGTCGTTGCTAACCTGCACTACAATACAGAGACGAACTTCTCATGCTTGACTGCCAAAACTTCTCGATTTGTGTTGCGGGGTCCCGATCTTGACTCTGGGGTGGGGACGTTTTTGCTCGGGATATTTCTCGGATGGTTGTTCATGTACCTACAGCACGCGGAGAAAGGGGCCTATCAAATGTAAAAATGTCTGGGTCTGGAAGAATGCATGTTTGTCATGCTAAATCTGGATCATGCAACAATCTGTGTTGCATGAGTACCAAAAGCCGTGCATTTTTGACCAAGGTGAAAAGGAGTTTCTCATGCAGGATAGGCATGATAGAGCTCTCGCAGAATCTGTCATGCTAGGCCCTGCATTCCAGACCTCATGGGGCATGGAAAACCTGCATTACAAATCGCGTATTCTTCCAGACCCAGACATTTTTACAGTTGATAGGGCCAGCCACTTCGCAAAAGACTCACCGTGGTGGCATCAGGTATAGTAGAGCTGCGTCTACTGTGTTCGTGTTGCAGAACGTGCAACCATTTTGGATTTTCTCATCATGTTGAGCGAACTCCTTACTGCAGTAAGACAGCCATGATGGTTTCATCTCTTTGCCACAAAAATGAATCCAAAGATGATTTCAACAAATTCATCAAAAACTACCTTTGTGTTTGTTTACTATCAGGTCCACGTCTACCTGGGTTATTCCCTGCTAATCTGCTGGTTGATCCAGATCGCCGGTTATCAAATGCAAAAATGTCTGGGTCTGGAAGAATGCAGACTTGCCATGCATATTTTCCATGCCCCATGAGGTCTGCAATGCAGGACCTAGCACGACAGGTTCTGCGAACTCTCCATCATGTCTATCCTGCATGAGACACTGCCGCTAAGCTTGTTCAGAAGTGGACACTTCTTGGTAATCACGCAACACAAATAATTGCACTACCCAGACTTAGCATGACAAGTTGCATCCTTCCAGACCCAGACACATTTGCACTTGATGCCGGTGGGGTTCTCAAGTACACGTCCTTGCCAAAACGAGGGGTGGTGAAGTGGCACGGTATCCTCGCACAGGTCATGTTTGCGCTGAAACAGCCCCAGTTTATCATCGCGGCGGTCATGTCGCTCTGGACGGGCTCACAAGTCCACCCGGACTCCGGTCACTACTCCGAGGTGCTGTTTTCGTTCCTCTTCATTGGCATGTACGCAGCTGTGATGGGCGCGTTCTACTTATTGTGAGGAAAAATCTCCCGTCTCCATACGATCGACAAGGCACGCTTCTGAAAATTTATGTTGCTGACTTGTGGCCACAAATCGCATCTGTTTTGCAAGACGGCAACTCCACAAGCAGCTCCGCCGCATTGCTCACGCGGCTTGTGATGCTGTTGGGGCTACAGCACAGACGTTTTTTTCATGCCAAGTTAGTACCTAGCCCACATCCTCTCTCGCTAAGCTCCGTATGGGCCTGCCTTCCTCTCCAGGGCAAGACAGATTTGACTTGTGTACGCAGATCCAGCATCAGAGCCTTCGTTTTGATATGGGGAGACGGGATTTTTCCTTTCGATATTACTACGCGGGGGAGAGGATATACGGGGACGCAGATCAAGATGAAACGGGAAGTTTAAACTCGAAAACCGGAGCGGCGGATTCTGATGCGGGGGAAAGAGATGCGTACGCATTGCAAAAATGTCTGGGGCTTGAAGATGAATGTAGGACTTGTCATGCTTGTCTGGAATGACTCTTAGATCTGTGATGCATAAGCAGGATCGGGGCCTGCGCTTGGTGCCTGTCATGCAAAAACGCAGCTTGTCATGCGAAAAACGAAACACATGGCAGTGCAAAAACTTGTCATGCTTGGCTGCATATTGTAGTGCGCCCACCATTTTTCAGAGACTTGCATCACAATTTTCCAGACCCAGGCATATTTGCATTTGATAATGCGGAGGGGAGACCAATACTTTCTTCGCCAATCGGCGGCGGTGGTGGCAGTACTTCTTCGCCCGGGAGGATATAGTGTCCGACTCGTCTTCTACTTTCGGCTAGTAGATCTTACCGCCGTTGTTCGCAAAAACAAATACTTCCTTGTACTCAGTCAAATACGAGCAGTTGCAGAAGGCAGGAGCAGCACGGTCGACAAGATATCAAATGCAAAAATGTCTGGGTCTGGAAGAATGCAAGATTTGCCATGCTTGTCTGGCCTGACTCTTAAAACTGTCATGCACGTTACCCAAGAGCTCCGCTTTTCTGTGATGCAGAAGCGCAGCCTGTCATGCAGAATAGGCAACACCTAGGAGCTCAGAAACTTGTCAAGTCATGCTGAGCCAGCATTTGTAGCCTCATCATGAGGCGCCACCCAGCATCACAAGTTCCCAGACCCAGACACTTTTACATTTGATACAAGAACACCAAGACCAACATCTTCCTAGAACAAACGTGAGGTGACAAAAACTGCGGGAGCGGAACCGGAGCATTGCTTCTGCGACCCGGTTATGAGGGATGTGGAGGATGTTGCCCGCGTTAGCGCTTTCGAAAATAACATAGAAGTCTCTTGAACTTGCTTTGAGAAGGGCAGAACGAGCACGGTGGTGCTGGGCATATTAAACAGCCTTCTTTCATCATCATTCAACGCGCAAGATGGCCGTCTTGTACTTTTACATCGACTTAAACGCAAAGCAATCTTGTTCTAGTCCTACCGAGGATGCAGCCCGTCTGTGGCGGGCAGGCGCACGCTCGTTGTAAATTGAGATTGATAAGCAACTTCGCGATAATCAGGCACTGCAAAAGTCGTGCAAGCCGCCAAGGGGGCACCGGCACCTTGGCTTGGGACTGAAAGTAGGCAGCGCAGTGACTGCGCTGTTCTTTTCTGGACGAGTCCTCGTCATGCTCATGTTCTTTTCTGGACGAGGCCCAGAAGTTGTCGCGACCTCGAATAATTCGTTGTGTCAGGGACTTGTTAGGTTTGATTTGTCGAACAAGAGATGAGAGACAGGACCTCACGTCGATCGCACAGAGAGGGCAAGAAGTGCAATTCTATCGACCGTCTTCATCTATGTTGTTGTCCTCGCGATGGTGCTTTTTCAATTTCAATCTACGTACCTCCTGTTGGCCAATTGAATTCGTCTTTTGTGCAGCTTTCCGTATATAATTTTCTTCAACAACTAAAGCTTCTCAACTACACCAAAGAAAAACATCAAGCCAACATGGGTTTTCTTGCCGAGCGCTTTCATCTGATGTTCAGAGACCAGCATCTGGAGATGGACCCAGAAGTTTCTTTTTCGAGAAGCAAGCAGAACAGGAGTACGGCAACCAGCGTCACCAGCCATCAGGTTTTACTAGAGTTCCAGTTCTCTGTTCGGGATCAGCTGCCGCGGAAAATCGCCACATCATTCAAGGACAAGGCTTTGCTTCTCCCAGAGGACCTCTCAGCGACGACGGAACCTCCTAGTGCTTCCCATCATGCTGCAATTGGCTCCTCACAACCACGCACGAAAATGCCTGCTCATGCTGTAAAACAAGTACAAGAGAAAACAACTACCGATGCTGGCGCTGCGGCCTCTAGTTTCGTCACTGCCCCTTCGGAGAGGACGCCGCAAAACGACCACAACGCACCAGCGAATCGCGGGAGCACTATTGCCTCGACCTCCATCACCATCAAGACGTCCCATCACAGTAAACTGGACCCGAACACGTTGTTCGCGCATCCGAGTGTGAAAAGATTGAAGACGCAGCACAAAAACATGATGCCTGATCGTGCTGGCGCCTCAAGATCATCTTCATCAATATCTCCTACCATTGGTAAAAGCGCAGCAGCACCAGAAGCTGCCAATCCTGACGACGACAACAGCAGCAGCAGCACGACAAAGAACCTGCAAAATAAAAACCTCCTTTTCCACCTGTCCACCCTCCCGAAAGACCGGAAAAACCTCACGAAAGAGCAGAAGGAGCTTTTACAAGCCACCCAATTCTTTGACGTCGGCGGAATGCTGTCCAGCTTCACCAATGCCATGCCTTTTTATGAGAGTGCACAACTCCCCCTCCCCCTCATTTGTATAGCATGAACGGCAATACAAGGGTCAGCAAGAATGCCGGTTTTGTACGACAAATTTCCACAGGAGTGTCGTGCTGTTTAGGCTTCCGGAGTTTGTCATGCAAACAGTGCCAAGAAGCACAGTTTGGATTTTGTATTATACATTACAAATGAGGGGGAGGGGGGGTTGTGTAGTCTCATACCTTTCTCGCCGAAATTCTCGGCACCGCCTTGCGCGCGAATTTAGCGCTCGGCACCGTGGTGGCGAAGGTGTTGAAAGGGCCACTGAACTTCATAAAACAGGGCGCGAAGTATCATGTGCAAAAGTATCGTAGTACTCGTACCAATTGTTGCTATCATGCATGACAAATGTCCCTTTTTAGGTAAATCAGCATTACAAATTCCATTTTTTCCTTGGAAAAAATTTGTGATGCATTTTTGATTAGTGCGATACTTTTGTAATGCATACGAACGTTGCGGGGTCGATTATGGGCCCAACGACCTCTGCTGCGATGGCGACCATGGTGAAGGAGCAGATGACGTATCCACAGTAAATTTCCCGTACACGTACAAATGCAGTCTCTGCATGACAAAACTTGCCTTCGATCCTAGTCCAGCATGACAAGTTGTACACTGCAAGTTAGCGGAATTTGTCATGCATTTTGTACGTGTACGGGAAATTTACTGTGGATATGACGCCGGAAAAGATTGAGTCCTTCTTCCCTCCGATTCAAAACCCCCGACACTGGATATGCATTGCAAATATGTCTGGGTCTGGCTGATTGCAACTTGTGATGCTACCTTTGGAATCTACATGAAATCTGTATTGCATGAACAGCAAAGGAGATGCAATTTGTGCTACGCGGAGAAGCAAAACATTGATTTCTCATGCGGTATGAGCATTAGAAAGCCCTCAGAGAATCTCGGATGCTAGGGCATGCATCACAGACCTCATAGGTCATGCAAAATCTGCATGACTTCCAGGAAGCCCAGACACTTTTGCATTTGATACTGGATCAAGCACCACAACTTCGCTTTAGACCAGGGCCAGAAGTTCATGATTATGGATCGCTCTCCGTTAATCCAGTTCACCGACTTGTTCAACCTCAACGGGCGCTTCGGCTGCCTATCCTGTGCAAAAGTATCGTACTCGTAGCAATTGCTAACATGCATCACAAATATAGCATTACAAGTTCCATTTTTTCTTCTTGAAAAAATTTGTGATGCAAGTTGTACTAGTACGATACTTTTGCAATGCATACTGCCATGCTGGAGACGATTTCCAGCAAAAGTTCTGGTGGCACCATATGGCGTGCTCAAACGTTACATTCTCAACTGTTGCATGAGGTTGTGATGCAAAATTACCATATAGCAACCCCAGGATCAAGCCGTTTTGCGTTTTGCATGACAAATTCCACCCCATCAAGGGCTAAACAGCATCTAAATCTGTGTGGAGTTTGTAATGCTAGAGGCGCAACCCTGCTCTCCCTTTGACTTTATTTGCTATTCTTGCATTACAAATTCATGCAAACATTTGAGAGTGTAACAACTGAGTAGAGTTCCATACACCACCCCCAGATCAGGTTTGGAATCCCGTTGGGCGAGATCAAAGTCACTCTGCAAAACGACTTGACGGGAGAAATCAAGTGGGACGCGGTTTACGATTTGGGGAACAGCACTTTTCTCCGCCACGACGCCGAACCCCTGACCGGGAAGCACCCCTTTTTCGTGCCGGATTGGTGCGACATCGGCGGCGGGGTTTCCATATCCGCTACAAGAAAAGCGTCGTAGACATAGACGTGTAAAAATCGCATGACAAACTTCTCTAGCATGAGAAAAGAAATTTGTGATGCAGATTCACCTATTCGAATGAGATTTGTGTTGCATGATTTTGCAATACCGATTTGTACGAGTGCGATGCTTTTCAACGGCATATTCCAGCGGCTCTCTGTCCTCGACCAACGGTGCGGGGGCGACTACGAATCATTATCAAATGCAAATATGCCTGGGTCTGGAAGGATTCGAATTTGTGATGCGAGGTCTACAGCATGACAACATCTGTCATGCATGGCCAGCAAAAGGCCCCGCTTCTTGTTTCCGAGAGAGGGGATTTGTCATGCTGATTAGAAGGCATTGGGGTAGCTGCTCAACAAAATCTAAATCTGTGATGCTAGAGCTCGCATGCCAGACGGTCTGGGGCAGGTAAAACCTGCATGACAGATCTCGCATTCTCCCAGTCCCAGGCATATTTGCAGTTGATAATCATGTCGCGAACACGACGGCGCAGGCGTGGACCTTAACGGTAACGAACTTGGGCTCGAAGTCGCATCCGGATATTACCTATGAACTGGAAATTTATCGTACTAGTATAAATTGCATTACAAATTGGCTCAGCATTACAAATGTAATTTGTAATGCGGATTGCACTTGATTAGTAGATTTGTAATGGATGGCTGCTATTTAGTACGACGAGTACGATACTTTTGCAGTGCATATTACCACGGTGGGGAAGATTATGGAGAGAAAAAAGTTTGTCACAGTCACTAACTTGCAGGTTTTGCATTACAAATTTTCTCAGCATCACAAACTTTCCTTGTATTGCAGAAACACTAGGGAAATCCCTAATAAAGTTTGGCTGTGACGCATTTTTACGCATGATAAACAATTTTGTATTGCAAGAATGCGCATGAGTGATCGTGACGAACTTTTTTTCTTTGATAAAGATCAGGTTCAATCAGTACCCGTTTCCGCTGTTGGAAACGAATTACAGCTACGAGTCTGTATCCTGTGCAAAAGTATCGCACTCGTATTGTAGTCGTGCATTACAAGTCTTTTTGTTAAGGCAAATCAGCATTACAAATCTTATTTCTCATGCTGAGGAAATTTGTAATGCATTTATACGAGTGCGATACTTTTGCAATGCATAGTCTGATATCGCCGCGGATGATATGCGGGTGCGAAACTTTGACATTCCGGGGATTCCGTCTCAACTATAGCGAGTATAAATATTTAGACATCCGACGAAATTCAGTTTTGTTTTGCTGGTGCCGACTCCTAGTGTACTAGTGGTCCTACTATTTGAAGATGAAGTTTCGGTCGTGTTTGAGAATATATAGGTTTGAAAAATATAATATCGACCTAATCGGTTGTTTTCTTTACTTCTCGGTGGAAACAAGTGAACGAAGACAATGTCGGCTTTTTTGTTTCAAAAACGTAAACCTAGATTATCGGTTCTTGAACTGCAACCTGTTTTTATCTTCAGCGGGTGACCGCGACACGAGATGGAGGATACCGCCACACAGACTTCGCGCGAAACTACAATCTGGAGCTTTGTTTCTGATGAATGTCAAAGAAAATTATCACTGTAAATACAACAAGAAGAACAACCTCCTGGGACGACTTTGTCATTCCAACAGGACCCCATTGAAATTTTTGACCCATGATGTTTGCCCCATGAGTCCCGGTGAACAAATCCAGTTTGCTTGTCGTGTATTCAAACAAGTTTTTCTCCGTTCTACTCGCTTCATTCTCTCATAGTACCCTGTCTGCTAAAGTTTTGCTTGACTCGTTTTATTTCTGTCAGATGTGTTGACGTGAGGTTCTTGTTGGCAACAGGCCTCCCGCGATCGAGTGTGTGGCTCTTACTTTTTGAAGGTCTACTGTGGATCATGAGATAGCACGGACTAGCAGTGCCAGTGCTGCTGCTGCTGGACGAGCTGGGTCTGAAATTAAGTAGTACTCCCAATATTTTGACCGCGCAACCAACGGGAAAATGACGATCTGAAAATTTTGAGTATAACTATATCTATAATTTTTGAAAACCCCTGCTGGTGCCGAACAAAAGTTATCGCTATGTCAAATAACGCTTGTTTTCTTGAGCCACGGCAGATTCTACCCAGACGAATCCTTTCTTATTTTCACGCAAGCACTATATTCAGTCTTTGTTTACAATCGCAGACTACGACATCATGAAGCATGACGCTCGTCATGCATTTGGTGCTGTTGGGCGGGTTCTTGTGATGTGAGTATATTACATCGATTCTTCTACCTGCACACGAGACCTATAACTATGTCGATTGACGTTCTTGCTCCTCCGGGAAGACAGACTTTTTGATAGTCGGCTAAAGGAAGCTACAGCTACTTCGCCTTGTACAGAATTTTAATATTAGCCAAACTATTTTTAAACGCCTATCATGTTCGACGACCACGACAAGAGCCTGACCTCCAGCAAGGAGAGCGCTTTGACCGATCAGACGGAAGAGGACGAGAATCATGACAACCGAAATTTCGAACATATCAAATGCAAAAATGTCTGGGTCTGGAAGAATGCAACTTGTCATGCTAAATCCGAAGCATGCAAAAATCTGTGCTGCATGATTACCAAAAGTCGTCCAGATTTGACCAAGTCGGGAGGGAGTTTCTCATGCAGGATAGGCATGAGAGAGATCGCGCAGAATCTGTCATGCTAGGTCCTGCATTCCAGACCTCATGGGTCATGGAAAAGCTGCATGACAAGTCGCGCATTCTTCCAGATGACCCAGACACTTTGCATTTGATAGAACAGCACGGTGAACCAAACGAAAGCAACTCCGGACCATCAGCCTCGTCCAGCGCGGCAGGGAGTAGGACAGGCACGAAGGAAACGAAAGAGGCGATACAGGAAAATAAGTACAGCAATCGGGGTGCGGTCGTGCCGGGGTCATCTACAGCCTTGGCACGAGGCGGAGGACTTCTACAACAAGGAGTCGTTTCCCCAAGAGGCGAGGCAGTATTACACCATCACCACCCGAACACCGCCTTGTCCGCGGTGCAATTTTCATCCGAGATGAGCTGCAATTTTTCGGCGCAACAAGCTACTCCAAGTTCCCCGAGCAAAAGCCCCGCGCAGCAGCAGCAGCAGCATCACCAAAATCTGAAGAAACGCACCGCGACGGCGATGCTGAATGAGAGGGGCTACGTGGATCCGGGTAGTCCCGCTCGAGCTGGAGCTGGTGCAAGTAGCAGTGGCAACAAATCCCCGCTTTTCCTGGCGAAAAGCAAGGGGATAATAGGTGGTGGCGGTGGCTCCTCTTCCAGCACGGGGATGATCACAGGTAGTTCCGGTAGCAGGATGATCAACCTGAACAATGCTGGAACCACAAGTAGCATCGGGAGTAGCATGACAAACTTCGGGTCTACTAGCACGACGAGGACGAACAGTAAGCAGAGGATACTCCAAACCCAAGACAGCACGATGTCGACGACGTCTGTGCAGTCGAACTTGAGTGTGCAATCTGATTCCCGACAAGCATCAAATCGTCCAAACAATTCTCCCACGCGTGGTGGTGTTCCTGGAGTTGTTATCGCACCAGGAGCAGCTGCTCGGTCGTCCCAGCAAGCTCAGTACAACCATCTCCGAATCAGCCGCATGCAGCGGAAAACCGCTTTAGGAATGAACATCGCGATCCAGGCGGAGAAGGGCATCCCCTTGAACGCAAAAATCACGATCATACAGGAGATCGACGAATACCGTGGGTTAAACTGGTTCGCGTGGGTCTACCACTTGTTTTATCCTGTGCAAAAGTATCGTATTCGTATTGCGATCATGCATTACAAATCGTTTTCTTAAGGTAAATCAGCATTACAAATTTTATTTCTCATGCTAAGGAAATTTGCAATGCATTTATACGAGTGCGATGCTTTTGCAATGCATACGTTTTCCCTCATTTTGATCTTCATCGCGAGCTACTGCTGGTTCGGGCCGCTGACAAGCATGCTGATCACCATCGGGTGTATTTTACACCTCTTTTCAGCCTCTCCCGATGGGACGAAAAGGAATCAGTGGAACATCTGGGTTTCTCTGTACGCGGAGATCACGACCATATGGTGCTTGATCATCGGCGTCATGAATCTCTGGGCGAATTCTGCGTTAGCTGCGGCGGAGAAATTATTGAAAGGAAAAATCCCCCCTCCTCATATTGAAAAGGTATGTCACCGAAAATCTGTGTTGCTGATTTGAGGTCACAAATCATATTTGTCTATGCAAGAAGGCAACTCTATCTCTACAGTGTCCGCCGCATTATGCGGACGGTTTGTGATGCTGCTTGGGCTACTGCATAGACGTTTGTGATGTTAAGCGTCCACGTCAGAAGCTCTGCACTCAGGCGCGGCATCTGCCTCCAATCCTGTACTGCAAGACAGCGCCGATTTTTGTACGGAAATCCAGAGTCAGAAACTTCGTTTTGATATGGGGAGGGGGGGTTTTTCCTTACGATAGAAATCCGGAACGGGATCCTCCCAGATCAACCCGACGAACTTCTCGCTGTTATCCTTCGCGTATGCTGCGCAAAAGTATCGTACTCGTAGTAATTGCAAATCTGCATGGCAAACCTTCCTCCTAAGGTAAAACAGCATTACAAATTTCACTTTTCTTCTTGCCAAAAGTTGTAATGCAATTTATACTAGTAAGTTACTTTTGCAATGCATATCGCGTACTGGCGGAATTTCAGCTTTATCCTCTTCGCTTATCGAAACCTCTGGGTCTGGAATTTCCTTTCCCGCACGGTGATCTTCGGGTGGATGATGCTGATTGCGTACATCAACGCGGAAGTGAGCTTCATGAAATACTACGAAGAGGAGTACAGCAATTTTAGAATCACCATGCGGAAGCTCGTTTCAGAGTACGATGTGCGGTTCTCCCAGGCGCAGCAGTTGCAGAATCAAGGGACAACCTGCTCTTCTAGTAGCTCTACATTAGGAACAAATGGCACCAGCTCGTCGGCTTCTCTAGACCACGAAGGGAATGGCGACGAGGAAGTAGATATTCCACGAAAAAACTGCTGCACTGTGATGGTTTTGCAAGATCCGCAGCACAAATTTGCTACACATGACACAGAAAATTTGCCATGCGCGCCTTCCAAGGGAAAACACGCTGAAAAATCCAACGCCTTGCAGCTGTAGCAAGACAAATAGTGCTGTGTTCAATTCTATGCATCACAAGTTCACAGTGAAACAGTTTTTTCTTGCGATAGTAGACGACGACGAGCTAATGAGACGAACCACCATGGCACTACCAAGGATGATATGGATTGCAAATATGTCTGGGTCTGGAAACTTGTAATGCTAAAAGTGAATGGTACTAGACGCACCACAGTACGCAGCTACGCATGACAAATTTTGTGGCTCCCATGTCTTACGTATAATTCCGCATGGCAAACTGCGTTTTGGCATGACAGGTAAGAGGGCCTTTTCGTCGTGCCTATGCAACACAGATTCTCGAGTCATGCCAGACAAGCATGACAAACTTGCATTCTTCCAGACCCAGACATTTTTGCATTTGATAGATGACCGCAGCCGTTCCGCCTTCGCCCAAGAGCGGCACTGCTTATCCTGTGCAAAAGTGTCGTACTCGTAGTAATTGAAGTCATGCATTAACGATCTCGTTCCCAAGGCAAATCAACATGACAAATTCCATTTGTCATGCTGAGCGAACTTGTATTGCCATTACTACTAGTACGATACTTTTGCAGTTCATACTGCTGGTGGTGGTGCTGTCATCTCTGATGCTGCGATGAATGAAGATGCGAAAGAAGTAGTAGAGGATGCACCACCTCTAGATGATCTTCCCTCGGAGCTCCAGCGAGAGATCGACAGGTCGCTCGGTGGTGGATCAACTTTGATCATGTCCAACGGGGGTGGAACTATGACTACAGAGAATGACAGCGTCGTCCTCGACTCCTCCGCCACCTCAACCTCCGACCTCTTGACCAGTTCTCTTGTTCCCAGCGGCAATTCTCTCCCCAGAATACAAATCATCAACGCGAATCCGAATGAACCAGGGATGTTGATGCCAGTGGTCTCATCAACAACATCTGCAGAGGTAGTTGATGTGACGAGCGACGAAGCCGCCGCCACGACATCCACTTTTTCAGGTACAACTTTGCGAGAGCGGAAGGCAGTGCCAGGTACTCCTACTCCTGCGCCAGAGATGTTGAGCAAGGACGAGCAGCCTGTGCCTGTCGTGGTCCCGAAGAAGCACATTCACTTTGGAACCACGAATAAAAACCTCCACCACACGAACAGCAGTTTAAACAGCAACAACTCCTCCATCCACGTTTCCATCCTCTCCACTTCCACCATCTCCTCCGCTTCCGGCGCGATTGAAGAGTTTCACAACCTCTCCCAGCGCGCCTTCGAGAGAATATCACAGGAAAAAGTGTTTAACGTTAACGGAATTTGTGATGCAGCAAAAGCAATGCATCACTAAATAACGTGCCAAAATTTGTCATGCATAGCATGCATATTGGGCTACATTTGTGATGCATCACTGCAATCGGTGAAGAAAACCGTTAATCTTAAAAACTTTTTCTTGTGATAGAGGAAGCAGCTGTTCCAGAAGCAGGCCCACAACGTGATCGTGTTCTTCTATCAAATGTAAAAGTGTCTGGGTCTGGAAGGTTAGAACTTGTCGTGCTAAATCTGAACGATGCAGAAATCTGTGTTGCGTGAGTGCCTAAAGCTGTCCGCTTTTGCCCAAGTTGAGAGGGAGTTTCTCATGCAGGAAAGGCATGATAGAGACCTCAAAAAATATGTCATGCTGGGTCTCGCATTCCAGGCCTCATGGGTAATGGAAAACCTGCATCACAAAGCTTGCATTCTTCCAGACCCAGACATTTTTGCATTTGATATCTTCAGTAGGTGTACAAGATTTCTGGAGATGAATCTCAAAACTCTTTTCTGGTACCCGTTTCTGAACAAAAAAGTCCTCGGGAAGGTTATGACCTGCTCAAACGTTACAATCTCAAGCGTTACAATAGAATCTGAGATCTGTCTTGCATGATGAACATGACAGACTCGGACAGCATTCCACTTTCTGCAATACAAATTTCGCCAGATTGTAGTGCGGATTGGGACTCCAGAATTTGTCATGCGCGATCCTATGAGAGTTGGCTAGATCATGCACTCTTGCATCACAGATTTCCATATTCTATTGCAACGTTTGAGATTGTAACACCTGAGCGGGTTATAAAGGTTCTTTTTCCGAGACCGCAAGAGCCGATCGTCTTCACGTTTGACTTATGCATTGCAAAAGCATCGCACTAAGTATAAATTGCATTACAAATTAGCCCAGCACTACAAATTAAATTTGTCATGCTGATCTACCTTGAGAAAGAAATTTGTAATGCATAAATGCAATTGCTACGAGTGCGATACTTTTGCAAAGCATTTGACTCCTCCGAGCTGAATGAGCTAAGTCGGATGAAGCGGAAGTTGAAGCATTTAGACGAAAAAATCTACGTTGGCGGGTACTACGTAGAGTACGTTTTGTCCGCTCTGCTTCCCTCCCGGGTGTACAACAGCAAGAACATCCGACGGTGGATCATCTGGGTGTTGGACATTTTGCTTCCCTGTTGCTTCCTAATCGCCGCGGTGCACCACTTATGCTGTGCAAAAGTATCGTACTCGTAATCGTATAAATGCATCCATTACAAATTTCCCCAGCATGAGAAATGAAATCTTTCATGCGGATTTCCCTTGAGAAAAAAACTTGTAATGCATGAATGCAATTACTACGAGTACGATACTTTTGCACAGGATACCACTTCTACCAGTTCGTCATCCACAAGGTGCAATTTTTCGGCCGCCTGGAAACCGACCCCATCATGATTTTCTTATGAAGTGCAAAAGTGTCTGGGTCTGGAAGAGTCATGCTGTTTTTGCATGACCCAGAAGGTCTGGCATGGGAGCTCTAGCATCACAGGTTTCAGGAAGCTTTCGCAATGATGCCGAATCCGCAGGACAAATCTCCCATTTAATTTTGGTGACAGAAAGTGGGCATCTTTTGCTACCTATGCATGAGAGATTTTTCTGTGTCCTCAAGTGCGCAGCACAAGTTTGTACTCGCTCAGAAACAGACCACATATTTGCAATCCATATTTCTTACGAAAATGCGATTCGTACGCGAGTTACAAAGCGGAACAGTGGTTCGGGGACAACACAGCGGCGATTGCGTTGTATTACACCCCCGGGTTTATCCGCGACACGGTGTTGTACTTGACGAACTTCGTCTTCGCGACGTTATCCTACACGTTACAAAGGAAAACGCCTAATTGGAAAGGGATAGCGACTTTTCCAAAACTTTTACTTTGACTTTTGGCAAAATCGCTATTTTGATCGTCGGCAATCCATGCTTTGCGAAAATTGTTTGGACCGTGCTGCCTGTTGCTGGTAAGTCCGCACTTTGGGAGTGGCAGAGCATGAAAGGGCGGCACCTCTTCGCCGCGGCGTGTGCCCGCCAGCTGCCTCCCATTTTGATCGACGCCTCCAAGCAGGCTGCGGGAAATGCCACCCGCCGCGCATCGGACGGGCAGCGCCTCCGTGGTCGGTTGTTCGCGATTATTCGCGAGCGCTGTGGGGCCCTGTGCGCATTTTGTGCACCTTTTGAAGTGGTGCGAGGGCGCTGGCCTTTGGCCTTTCAGTATTCGCCCGGATGTTGATCGCCGCCTCGCGCTTCGGAAATGCCGGGGCGCGTCGGCCCTCTTCGCCCTGAGCGCCTTTTAAATAAGCAATGGCACTGGCTGCCACTGCCAGGGCCCGAAACCGAATGGGCGCGCCGCCCCGCCGCGGTGTCTTGGATGGCACGCCGGCCGCGCGCTGCCTGTCCTACGTACCTTCAGCCCCCTACATTCTGGCCCGCCGCTTGCCCATTCTTACAAAATAGAGGCTGTCGCGCCCCGGCAGTCTGTTTCCTGCCCGCCTTTCCGCGGTTACGCGACGCGACCGAAGCGCGCGCCAAAGGCGCCCCCCTTTTGCAACCAACGGGCAGAGGCGGTTCCTCCGCTCGTCTCGCTAGCGGTGGCAGAAGTGTCAAGGGCCTGCGGACGGGGGGCCACCCCGATGGCCGGCGCGTGATATGGGTCTGTGGCGCGCTGTGGTGGCGCCACCTGTCTTTTTCGGTTGCCCGTCTATTCTGCTTCGCCTGCTTGAACGAGAGAAGCAAAGAGGCAGCATACCATGCGGTCCGACGTCGGACCGCATGGTATGGTGCGCGATGGTGGGCCAGCCTCACGCGCCAGGCCGTCCGTGCGTGCGGCATCGCGTCGCGATGTGGGGCCGACCTCCCCCGGTTGGGTGGGCTTCCCCGGTGGGGTGTTCTTTGGTTCAGGAAATGGATAACGCAACTCCCCCGGGTGGCCCGCCCCACAAGCGAGCCGGCGGGCGGGGGCCCCGTGGCCCCTCTGGTATGTTGCCCTCCAGCACGAGCCTGCGTGCCTGGGTGGTTTGCCTTCTCTTGTAGGATGTACCGCAGCGACCCCGTGGGCCGGCTGTATCTCTGCAGCTTTCCCGACAAGAACCGCCAAAAACGGCCGGGGGCTTGGGGCGTTGGCTCGCGTTTTTTCGCATGTTGAAGATGAAAAAAACCCAAGCGCGCCCGCCTATTTGGTTTTGTCTTACTTCAATGAATGCAGTCGCCGGTGGGCTCAGTCGGCCGCCGGGGGAAAGACTGTCTGAAAAAATGACGTAGGGGGGTCGGCAAACGTGGCACCCTTCTCAGGCGCCGGCCGCGTGCGATTCTGGCGCGCGACTTGGGGCGCCCAAAAGGGCGCCCCAAAAAACCCGCCCGAAGCCAGAACAGCGAAGCCGTATGGCAGGGCCGCGAAACCGGTCGCGAATCGAAAGCGGCCGCCCTTTTGCCGGGTTCTCAGCGGGGGGGCGCTAGCTTTGCAAAAGGCGCGGGCGCGAAAAATAATAAACAACGCAAAAAAGAAGAAACGCGCCAAGCGCGCGAAGCCAGCCCGCATTCTATGGGCCCGCTTTTCCTTCGGTTTTTGGGCGCCCCCCGCGGTGCCCGGGTCGGCCCGATAGCATCGGGGTTGGCTTTCGGGAAGGCGTTTTGGCAAGTTGCCCAATGTCTGCCATTTTCCCCAACCGGCCGCCATACCGTGCGGCATAACCTTACCCACCCCGGCACGGCGGGCCCAGAAAAAACAAAAAAGTGGCGTGGGCCAAGGTCGGCGGGCAAAGAAGCGGCGCCGGCCTCATTATCTCCGCCCCGGCGGCAATATTTGGCGCATTGAAGTAGGCGCGCAGCACGCCGCGCGGCCCGGCCTCGCACGTTCGGGCCGCATGGCGTGGCGCGCTTCGGTGGAGCTGCCCGCGCCTCACGTTTTTGCGTGGCGCCCTTCTTTGGGCGTTAGCTAGAGGCCGTCCGGCCTGCCCCTTTCTCTTTCATATTCGCCGGCCCCCCGCACTTACATACATACAAAGCGGCGAGACCATGCCGCCGCTCCAGAGTGCTCCGCCTCGGTCGCGGCGGCCTTGCGCGGCCGGCTTTTCGCGAGTAGAAAGGGCGCCGGCGCAGCAGGGGCGCGCGCGGGGCGCCACTCACATGTTGCCGCGCCGGCGCGCGCAATAAGTTCGCCCAGGAGGCTCTGTCCCCATTTTCGGGGAGACCGCCTCAGCCATGTAGAAAAGGGGGGGGGCAGCGGGATTCTTCGCAAGCCTGGCGGATGTGCAAGCCTTCCGGCTTTTCGGCTTTTGAGGGCGCGACGAAATCTTCTGCCTGAGTGCCGAAAGCCTGCCGAAAACTTGCCGAAAACTTTCCCCCGAACTTTCCCGCTTCGGGATCATTTTTGGACTCGAAAACTTTTGGATGACTTTTCAACTCCCGGTCTGTAACTTTTGGTCGACTTTTAAACGGGAGAATTTTTCGGGAAGGTTTCGCGGAAGGTTTTCGCCGACTTTTCGGGAAAGTTCGGGGGAAAGTTTTCGGCAAGTTCTCGGCAAAGTATCCGGCAGAGTTTTCGGTAGAGGGGCGGAAAAGCTTCGCCGCCCGGCGCCTGCCCTTTGTTCCTGCCCGCCAGCCGGGCCGCCCTCGGGCGGCTGCCTTGCGCCCGAAAAGAGGCAGGCACAGCCCCCCGGCAGGCACGCCTGCGGTTATTGCGCACGGGCGTAGCCAGGCAAGCGGCCGGCCCCGCCCCGGCGGGCGGGCGGCGCTACGTTGTCGCATGCGCCACCGGGCAGCGGATTCACGCCCCGGGGGCGCCGGTGCGCGTGTAGCTTGCTGCGAACCAAGAGAGGGCGCCCGGGCTTCGGCGTTTGCTACCGACCCCCTGAACTTGGCGCGTTGCGCCGTTCGGGGCGCGTTCGGGGCATGCGCTCCGCGTGCTCCACACTTGCGGCGGCCGGCGGGCTCTCGGGGGCCCGGGCGCCGCTGGAGTTGGCGTCGGTTTGCCCAAACCCATAGACGGAAGGAACACCCGGCCCGGCCGCGCCATTCCTTCGCCCCCCCGCCCGCGACCGACCTAGACCGGGGCCACAATGTGCCGGCCGGCAACAGCCGCGCGGGCGTGGCGCCGGCGCACTGCCGAGCCCGGGCGGGGGAGGCGTGTTATTGGGGTGCCGAAGCGATTCCGCCGCATCCGCCAGGCGCCAGCCGGCCGGAGCCGGCCTGCCTGGGGGCCTCCCACCCTCTGATATGGGGGGGCGCCTGCATGTTGGGCCCCGCCGGCCTGCCTGCGCGCCTGGAATACCGGGCGGCGCCGCCGCGGGTCTACTTCCTACGTGCCGGCGGCCCGATTGCCACCCATCGCTCGTCTCGCCCTTCGCTCGCCCTGCGCCCCACCCTGTGGGCCGGGATTGGGCGATCCGTTTCGTCTCTATCTGGTCAGCCAGGGCGCCTGTGCCTTTGCTGTTTTGCTTTTCCGACAAGCATACCGCGCGGTCCGACGTCGGACCGCATGGCACGCTCGACACCGTTTCGGGCGGGGCGAGTCATGTTGGGGCGCCGGGCGATGTGGTTGGTGCACGGGCGGAACTGCGCCCCTGCGTGCGACGTAGCGGAGGGGGCGTCGTGGGAGCTTAGTTACCCTCGGGGCCTGTTTGCTTGCTACGTGTGGGGCTGTCGGACGGTAAGCCGCTGCTGCGTGTGCCCAGCGTGCCAAATATAGCCTCCGTGGCGGAGGTGGTGAGGTCGGTGCCGCTGGCTGCCTTGCCCGCCGACCGTTGCCCTGGCCAGCCACTGCGTCCTTTTTCTGGGCCCCCCCGTGCCGCTTTTGGTATGGCCATGCCGTGTGGCTTGGCCGTCTTTTGGAAAGCATGGCACTTCTTTGCCAAATTTTCAGAACCCCTGTCCGAAAGCTACCCCTGGCGGTATGGGGCCGATCCGGGCGCCGCGGTGGAGCGCCCTGAAACCGAAGGCAAGCCGGTCCCATGGCATGGGGATTGGCCTCGCGCGCTTTTGCTTTTCTGTGTTTTTTCTTTGCGCGCCGGCACCCTTTGCAAAGCTTCCGCCACATAGAAACCGGCGAAAAGGTGGCGGCCGCTTTCGCGGCCGGCCAAATGCTCCGAACGGAGCCCCGGCCCTGTCGTGTGGCTTCGCTTTTCTGATTTGCCGCGAGTTTTTTGGGGCGCTCTTTTGCGCGCCCCAAATCGCCAGAACCCCACGCGGCCGGCGCCTCAGCGGGGTGCCCCTTTTCTTTGTCGGCCCTCCTGTGTCGAGAGTATTATCAGCCGGCGACCGATAGAACCCGGCGCCGGCGGTTCGTTGAAGTCAAACAAAGCCCAACAGGCTGGCGCGCTTTGATCTTCCTCATGTGGAAAAGCGCGAAACAGCAGCACGCACCGCCGGCAGCTTTTGGCCGGTGGTTGCTTTGCATTAAGAAAGCTGCCAGGGTCGGGCCGTTTCGCGGTGGCGGCCCGCCGGCGGCGGGAGGCGCGGGGGAGCGCCGTGGTTCGCGGTGTTTGTGAGGCTTGGGCGCGCGCGTTTTTTGGCGAGGGCGCGTGCTGCCCGGTGCCCGGTTGCGTCGGGTTTAGGGTCTGGCGGACCGGCCCCCTTCCCTGTGTCGGTAGCCCTCCTCCTAGTCCGTTCCCGGGTAGGCCTTCCGGGCCTGGGGGGGGGCGGGTGGGTGCGATGGGCGGTCATGGCCTTTTTCTTTAGGGCGCCCGCGCCGGCAGCCGTTGGCTGGGTGCGGTCGGCGGGTGCCCGGCGCGCGCACGCTTCGGCGGGTTGAAAGGCGGTCGCTCGGGCTTCGCCGATCACCCGCGGGACAAGAGGAGGCGTCGGCGCCCAAGACCTCGCAGGCGCCCCTGTTCTGTCGCTACTTGGAGTATCTTCGTTGCGTTTTTTCGTTCTGACTCGCTTTATCAAATCGTTTTCAATACCCTGAAATCCTGAAAAGTCAAACGAAAAGTTTTGGAAAAGTTCGAATCGCCCGCCAATTAGGCGTTTTCTTTTGCAAACACGCTTCATTTAATCTGGATCTTCGTGATTCCAATAGACGAATTTCTCACGTATTTGAGAGCCAGGTATGACAGTGCACAACCCCCCTCCCCCTCGTTTGTATTGCGCGAATAGCAATACAAACGCCAGCGACCCTGGTGGAGCCTGTGCATGACAAATTTGTGTACCTACTGTAGTTGATTGTTTGGGCTCTCGAAATTTGTCATGCATAATAGTGACGCAAGGGAGCAACTGTAATTGTGGATTTTGCATGAGAAATGAGGGGGGCGGGGAGTTGTGCACAGTCATACCTGGTGGAACTCGTTGATGAATTTCGTGCGGCCGGTGAAAAACTTCTTCTTCGACCCGATAATCTCCCTACTGTTCTTCCTTCACGGCACGATCTACCCGCTACTCGCGAACTTGGACACAACGGCAATTTTAGCGACGGTGTTTGACATCATGCAGTCGAAGATTATTTGGGGGATACCGGTTTCCGGCCGGAGTTTAGGTTGGTGGCGGTGGGTTAGTGAATACTTCTTGATGTTTTACGAGTTTTCCGGACTGAAGAAATTCGTCGACTGGCTGATCATATTATGCATTGCAAAACAAGTACCGTACTAGTACTATACTAGGAATTATCGCAATACAAATTAGCGCAGCATGACAAATGCAATTTGCCATGCTGATTTAGCTTGGTCAGGCGATTTGTCTTGCATGATTGAGATGATTCGTACGAGTACGATACTTCTGCACTGCATACGTCCCCGCTTTTTACAAATACGTTTTGAAACGGCCGCCACCAAGCCCGCCAGTTAGTCCCAGACCGGATGTGAGTATGAGGGACGGTGGTGGTGGTTTCAGTACGAGAGGGATGAATGAGGACAGCGCCGACACGTCCGGACCACCCTCCCCGGAAATGACGCCACCACCCGGTGGTGCGATGACGCAGCTGTCAGGGAGTAGAGACGTGACGCCAACGCCCTTCAGGCTGGAGCTGCCGACCATAATGCCGGTCGTGACGGATAATTACGCCACGTCGATTAATGAGCCGGTTTTATCCAGTGCCCCACTGTCGTCTTCCAGTCATGTTGTAGAAGGAGAGCCGAGCAGCCAGAACAACAGCACTACTACTTCTTCTATGCCGATCCTGCTCGGTAAATTAGGATCGACAGAAAACACGCTGGCGTCGAGAGTAGCGGCAGAGCAGATGAGCGCCGGGTCTTCTTGCACAGGAGACAACGTTATGCATTGCAAGAGTATCGTACTCGTATATTAAATGCATTACAAATTTCCTCAGCATGAGAAATACAATCTGTCATGCGGATTTACCTGAAGAAAAGAAATTGTAATGCTTGACTGCAATTAGTACGACTACGATACTTTTGCACAGGATAAACGTGATCCCGATAAGCTCTTGCGTTGACCATGTGAAGCAGGTGGTAAGTGATCTTGGAGGGGTCAACAGTCCTTCACCAGTCCTCGACTATGGCAACAAAAAACAAGCAAGACAAGAACCGCGGCGCGATTTCGATTTGAAATCCTCTTCCGACGAGCTATTACGAGAAGAGCTGTTGAGATCTTCAGCTGCGGAGAACGACTATGAGACAATATCCTGTGAAAAAGTATCGTACTCGTAGTCATTGCATTTATGCACTACAAATCTCTTTTTCAAGGCAAAACAGCATGACAAATTCCATTTGTCATGCTGGCCGAATTTGTAAATGCGATTTCTACTAGTACGATGCTTGTGCAATGCATAGCCAACGTTTCATCTAGACGATCTCCCCGGTTGGAGAGATAAGCATGGAGCTACTTCGACAAGAATAGTAGACGATAGGTCTGGCGTTTCCATGCATGACGAGAGGACGAACATCAAGCAAATTATCCAAATCCCCTCAATGCAGAAGGAAACCAGCAGCAACTCCCTAGCGGACTCGCAGCACACGTCTTCCTCGAACGACTTGCCGTCAGAAGAAATGCTACTGTCGAACGCGAATTTATCGCATGACAAACTGAAGCGGGCAAGGAGTTCTGGCGATCACAGCAGGGATGAAAATATTTTCGACAAACCGTTGATCTACTCAACCAGCAGCTCGGCGTCTTCCGCAACCTCCTCTGCGAGGGGAGAACAAATGACAAAGGAGAACTCATCTATGTCCCTGAAAAAATTGACCCTGCGACGTTCTTCCGCTTCAGTAGTGGATGTGTGGCCGACCACAGGGTAACAAACGCCTGCTGCAAGTAGTCCGTCGAAAATGAATAACGCTGCAGAGGCAACTACTGCTCCGGTAGGGGGCATAAAGACCACAACAGGCACCACTCCAGAGCAGGACATTAGGAACAGAACATCCTCAAAGCAGAACCTCGTGCCTCCTTTACGGTTAGACCGCGTGTCCTCACCGGAAAAGGAACCAATACTAAACCAAGCGGAGTTGATCGCGTCGCATGATGGAGAGGACCACGAAGTCGTGTCTAGCTCTGTGGAACCGCCGACGAGTGCGTCTTCTTCGAGGGCGGGAGATCAAGAACTCGGGGTGAGTAGGACGACGCCAAAAGTCGTTGACTCAGCCTTACAGGACACTGCATCAGCTTCAGTATTGAAAAAGGACCCGCCTTCTACAGGAACCAACGACGTTGAGGAAAAGACCCCTGCAAGAAGTACTGCTGCAAGCACAAGCCCGGGAAAACAGAACAGGGGGAAGAGGAATAAGAGGAAGAACAAATGAATTCTAGCGACTAGTATTACACGGCTCTCATGAATACATATGCAACAACCACATATTGTAAATCCACGTTGGGCGACGGCGACAACATTTGTGAACTCTTCTACGCGACATTTCATTTCTGTACATTACATCTTTGCTGATTTGTATCAGCATTCGTCCTTGTACATCAATCACGAACGCAAAACGCTGGCCGGAGCGGATGCAGACGCGCACAAGCTTCGAAAACTTAAGACCGCCGCATTGTTCAGCGCCAATTCGATCCTTTTCCGCTTGCACAGTACTCCCATGCTCGCATGGTGCCTCTCCAGAGCTACGAGGCAACTATGGTACGCGGTCGGCAGTACCAGTTTTCTGTAGTGACTTCGAGAGAAATGAGGGGCGGAGATATGTCAGAAAGTTTGTCTAGTTGTTTTGGACAGTGAGAGATGAGCAGATAGAAGTTCTTCTAACTAGTTAAGCTGTTGGCGCTGGTACAACTGAGTTCATCAACAACTTGTGCTTGCTTCAGGAAAAACATGAGCTGACATTGATTCTTTCTGCGGTAGTTCGGGTCACACTCTTCACACCATCGATTCTGTTTCTGTCCGGACGCACCCGCGGAAAATAACCGGTTGCTGTTGTCTTCCGGTAATTCTTCCGCACGATACCAACTAGATCCATTGTTCGTTCGAAGGAGACACAAATCACGCCTGCTCTCCTGGTGAAAGATTGAGAAGTTCTAGTAACAGGAGCACCATCAAGAACACAAGCGCGAACACACACACACCGCCATCCTCATCCGCGCAAGTAGACAAATTTCTCCTGCTTCCACCTCCACAGCGGGCACTATACAACCTCCGCCGCCGCCACTATGTCGTCCGAAATTTGGGAGCAGCATAAGCAGAATGGGAATGATATGGATGTGCCAGGATCGAAATCGACAAAATCGAAAAACTTGTGATGCATAGAATGTAGAGCACTGAAGGCCTGTACTGGGGAGCAGGCATATGAGACCGAGTGTAAGCCTCTTTAGGGGTATGCAATGTGCTGCCAGAGTAGCATGACAGGAGCAGCCTTCTTTGCCCAAACAGCATGACAGACTGGATTTGGGTGCTCCCGAAATTTGTCATGCGCCACTTGAAAACTGAGGCTCCAACTAGCATTGATTTTGTGCATCACAAATTTTTTGATTTTGCCAATGAATTTCGATTCTGACACTTCCATAAGTGAGCATTTTAAGAAAAAGGAGTACGAAAAAGCGATCGAGCAATTTTCCAAAGCTATCGAACTGAAATATGAACTGCAAAACAAGTATCGTAGTCGTATAAATGCATTACAAATTTTCCTCAGCATGAGAAGTAAAAGTTGGAATGCGGAGTTCCCTTTAGAAAAGGATTTGTAATGCACACAAGACTTGCATTTATACCAGTGCGATACTTTTGCACAGGATGTGAAAACCGACAACGCCATCCTTTTCTCCAACCGCGCCGCGTGTTACCAGTTTCTATCCACAGTAAATTTCCTGTACACGACGTAGGTACAAATGCGGTTTCTGCATGACAAAACTTGCCTTCGATCCTAGTCCAGCATGACAAGTTGGCCTCTGCCAGGTAGCGAAGTTTGTCATGCATTTTTTACATGTACAGGAAATTTACATTGCATAGTTTCAAAAACAATACGACAAAGCACTAGCCGATGCGAAGAAGGCCACGGCGTTGGATCCAAAATGGTGGAAAGGGTGGTCCAGAAGGGCCGGGGCGGAACAGTGTCTGGAAAAGTACGCAGACGCAAAAAACAGCTACGAGAGGGCGATACAGTTCATACCGGCAGAGGAGGGTGGTGGGGAAACGAAAACGAAAAAATCAGAATTGGAAGCGGAATTGAAGAAATGCAAGGACAAGCTGATACAGGTCGGAGGTCTGATAAGATTTGTATTGCATGAGCAGGAATCGACAAGCTTATGCAGATTACGGATATCAATATCAAGAACTTCTACAGGGAGCCTTTATTTCATCATGTTCAGCAACATTACACATGGTTTACTAACGCAACCTAAATAACCTCTCTTCAGGGCAACATGGAGGGTCTGAAATTCACCGACATCCAGAAAGAACTCCGCCAGTCGCTCGAGCGTCTCTCCCTGGAACAGCTTCGGGACGAAGCGCGATCTGTATGACAGTGCACAACCCCCCTCCCCTTCATTTGTGTGCTGACATAACCAGCAATACAAGCATCAGCAAGAATGCAGGTTTTGCATGAGTAATTCGCACAGGAAGGTAGTGCCATTTGAGAGGCCCAAACTTGTCATGCAAACAGTGCAAAGCGGCAAAGCGTGGCTTTGGCATTTTGCATGACAAGTGAGGGGGACGGGGAGTTGTGCGCCCTCATAATCTGCCGGAATTTTGGATGTTTCAAACCAAGACAGCTCCGAGGAGCTGATAAGGGTAATTCTCGCTGCGGATGCGAAGGCGGCGGACGACGAAAGGAGAAGAAGGCAATGGAACAAGTGGTGCATCTGCTGCAAGAGGGGGGACCAGGTACAATCATGTAATGATTTGTTCGGGTGGTCGTGAGAGTAGCATGACAAACCTCTCTTTTCAATCATGCGATCGTAGCATGACAAACTTGTTCAGGTAACCCCCGAAGACTCCGACGACCAGGCACCGACCTACGCGGGACCGCAATCGAGAGGAGAGAAATACTTGGTGCAGAGGAAGAAACGGATGCTATCGTGAGAGAAAACAAGTGTTACAGTTACATACTCTGATGGGAGACAAGCAACACAGACAACCTCTGTCATGCAGGAAATGCCTAGCAACCTCATTTCAAATTCATTCGTCGTGTTTCCCCTTGTAATCTGGGCATCGCAGGCTTTCTTTCTTGCCATTTCGAGCAACTTTGTGATGCAGAAACTCCACCAACAATAATGTGTAACTGCAACACGACTTTTCTCCTGTGATAGATGCAGGCTTTGCAGGAGTACGACATCAACAAGTTAAAGAAGATGTGCAAGTCGAAAAGGATCGAGTACGAGAGATGGTGGCAAGTATCGGATTTCGCTAACGCGATAATTCAACTCGAGGAAAAGCAAGCCGCAGATCCGGATTACCAGTTGCAGAAAAATTTGAAGATTTTGGGTGTAGTGTCGTTTCTGATTTTGGTGGTCGCCGTCGTGTTGATTCTGATAGCGGCGTGAAGAACAAGACGGGAAATAAACAAGCAACACGAACATCATGAGGGAGATGGTGGGTTCGTTTCAAAACATAAGGATAAAAAGCCGCTGTACTAAAACCAAACGCAACAACATGGTGGACTGGATTGATTACAACTTCCTTTGCGCAGGAGGTGATCAAAAGTTCTTGCAGTATGTGTATCGAAAATCTTCATGATGAAAAGTAAGCAAGTAGTACTTGGTTAGATTACTTCCTCACCAGCTCACGCGCTATATTTTTTTTTGTTTTGTTCTGACTGCGAGTGTGATTGCAGACGTGTGTTAATCAATGGGTTTGTCCGTCCATTCATTTGCACGATGAAAAATCAATCAATCGCGATGGTATGGTCGACGTATAGTGTACCTTTCGCAGCAGTCACGCACAGATGCATTTTTTTATCATTTTATCTTCGTTATCGGAAACCATGCGCTCCGGATTCGATAGCATAGTCAATGTTTGTTGAGCAAAGTTTGCTTTGATATCATCTACCACTTGCTTCGAGTACTAAAACATTTCAACATTTTTGCGTAGTTGTTTGCGTGCCACTGTCGTGCGTGCACGCGCAACATCGAATATCCGCACCACCCGCAAAGAACTTCAACGCGACTCCATTATCCACAAAATGGCCGGCATGAATCCGCGCACCACCACCACGCTCGCGCAGCTTTTCCAGGACGGAGCAAAGATTGCGAAGGCGGCTGCGCAGATTCTAGACCGACCGTCGAGACAGGTACTCGGGAAGGCGAAACAAGCCGGGGTGGTTTTTCCGGCAGCGGAATCTGCAACTGGCAGTCATGCTGCAGGTAGTAGTTCCAGCAGCATGTATGAACTGCAAAAGTATAATCGTACTCGTATAAATGCATTACAAATTTCCTCAGCATGAGAAATAAGATTTCTAATGCGGATTTACCTTTAGCAAAAGGATTTGTAATGCATGATTGCAATACGAGTGCGGTACTTTTGCACAGGATAGCATGCCGGGTGCAGCAATGGGAGCGAGCACGAAAAGCCTCCTGAACGACATCGCTTCCGCAGAAAACATATCAAGTGCAAATATGTCTGGGTCTGGGAGACTACGAGATTTGTCGTGCTAGTTCGGCATGACTCGAGAGTCTGTGATGCATGGGCGCGAAGCGGTCGTCTTACCTGTCGTGCAAAAACGCAGCTTGCCATGCGGAACGAGCATCACATTGGAGCGTGAAAATTTGTCATGCTTCGCCGTATTGCAGTAGAAGTCTCATTCAGTATTTAGCATTACAAGTTTCCAGACCCAGACATATTTGCAGTTGATAAATCGCCCACAACACCATGGTGGAGGCGACAAAAACTGCGAACGAATATGACCTGCTTAAACGTTACAATCTCAAACGTTACAATAGAATCTGGGTTTATTTGTATTGCATGACGAGCATGACAGACTCGGACAGCATTCCACTTTCTGCAATACAAGTTTCGCCAGATTGTACTGCGGATCGGGACTCCAGAACTTGTCATGCGCAATCCTATGAGAGTTGGCTAGATAGTGCACTTCTTGCAACACAAATTCCAGATTCTATTGTAACGTTTGAGATTGTAACACCTGAGCGGGTTATAACGAAGCGCTAGAGGTTTTGGACGTGAATTTACGGGTGTTGGGTCCGAACGATCCCAATTGGGTCAAGCTGCAGATTCTGCCCAAAGAGGACGGCGGGGACGGCAAAACTGATGGCGCCGCAGGCTCGGAAACTAGTACAGTCGGAGCTGACGCAAGTACGACTGCCGGCGGATCTTCGTCCTCTTCGAGCAGTGCTAGCAGTTCCTCTTCCCCTATCGAACGAAAAAAGTTTGTCACACTCACTAACTTGCACGGTTTTGCATTACAAATTTTTTTAGCATCACAAGTTTTCCCTGTACTGCAGAAACACTAGGGAAATCCCCTATGGAGCCTGGTTGTGATGCATTTTTACGCATGACAAAAAATTTTGTATTGCAAAAATGCGCATGAGTGATGATCGTGACGAACTTTTTTTGTTTGATATCCCCGTCCTTCTCTCGCGAAGACGCACGGAAATTCGTCGAGCTCATGGCGGTATGCAATGTAAAAGTATCGTAGTAGTACAAATAATTGCAATACAAATTCGCTCAGCATTTTTACAAGTCAAATTTGTAATGCGGACTTACCTAGAGCCACTAGATCTGTAATGCGCATAACTGCAACGTATTACGAGTTTCCGATACTTTTGCACTGGATAGGCGGATGCAAAACGCGTCCGCTTAGGGGACGTTCTGCTCGAGACCTACATCGACAACCTCCTCTCCGACGCGAAATTCAAGCGCATCGTCCAGCTCCCCGCGGTTTTGGAGCGGAAAATCTATTACGATTTGATTCGCACGACCCTGCAGATTTTCGAAATTGGCTTGCTGAAGCTCAACGGCTCGGATTTGCTCGGGCACGAATTGACGATCAACCTGAAACATTTAGAATACGGGGAAGATGAAGATACGGTGAAGCCACTGCAAGCCTGGACGGTATTGCACCAGAAACGAGTGGAACGGGTCATGAAACGGGTGATACGAGAGCGGGAAAGTTGTTTGAAGTACCTACCTATCAAATGAAAAAGTGTCTGGGTCTGGAAAGATGCGAAGAACTTCTGATGCAGACTTGGATCACACAAAAATCTGTCATGCTTAGACGGCAAAGGGAGCTCGGCTTCTTTTCCTGTCGCCGAAAGAACGAAGGCGTTTGCCATGCGGATTAAGCACTCGGAAACCGTCTCAAAACCTGTGATGCTAGGCCGTGCATGTCACACCTTCCGTGTCAAGCAGACACAGCATCACAAACCTCAGCAATCTTCCAGACCCAGCCACTTTTGCAATGCATACTACCGAGTGCGAAGAACAGTAACGTGCCGAACTTTTTGTCGGACATCGAAGGCGATTTTATCATCACCATATCCCAAATCGTCATGCGGCTGATGAACGATTTATTTTCCCCTTCCAGAATCAAAATCCGCATGCTGGGGCACGTAGGCACCGCAAAAGTGTAATATCGTACTGCTCGTTGTACTTCTAATGGCGATCCCAGTCTAATGCATGACAGATCTCCTACCCACCTTCTACTGGATTGAATCTAGCATGACAAAATTTTTGCGTTTTTACTCTTGAGAAATAAGATTTGTGATGCGCTTTACTATTCTACCAGCAGCAGTACGATATGCTACTCTTGTGATGCATAGCACGAGCTGAAATGGGAGTGCGAGCCGATGAATCAAGACCAGATTGATCAATTTTTGTCGGAAAGGAGAAGGCCGGCGGGGGATTTGATCAACAAGGAGTCGGTAAACATGTTTGTGGAGGAATTGTTAAACTATCGCAGGAAAATATAACTGGTTCACTGTAAACTTGTAATGCAAAATGTGTATCGCAAAAGTGCTTGTCTTGCTACACATGCAACACAGTGGGTTTTGAGCTTGCTGTATTTTCCCTTAGGAGCCTTGCATGAGCAATTTTCTTTGTTATGTAGAGCAAACCTGTGATGCAAAACTTGCTGCAAAGTCCTTACAGTGAAACACTTTTTTCGTACGATATAAACTGCGATGACACCAACATCGTGTGGGTGCCGGACAGTCTGGAATCGAAAGTCTACGCGCACATCATGACGACTGTCGTGACGATCCTGGAGGACGTGCTAAACAGCTCGGAAGTGAGCATTTTGGGCTTATTGGGAGGAAAAATCCCCCCTCTCCATACTGAAAAGGTATGTTTCCGAAAATTTGCGTTGCTGATTTGTGGCCACAGATCACATTTGTCCTGCAAGAAGGCAAATGCGGAAGCTTCCGTCCCATTATGAGAGCGATTTGTCATGCTGGTGGGCCTAAAGGGCGGCCGTTTGCAATGCTGAACAACAAGACCCAGACGCCTCTGCCTAGGCTCGGTATCTGGCCGCAATGCCTTCCTGCAATACACAAACCGCATCTGTGTAGTACACAAATCCAGCATCAGAAGTTCCGTTTTGATATGGGGAGGGGGGATTTTTCATTTCGATAGGGCTTAAAGTGGCAGTTTTCCTTGGTGAGTGCGTTGGACACGTATCCAGGAAAAAACACCCATCCCCATCCAATTTGTCATGCAAAACATGCATAAAATCCACTATTTGTCATGCAAAAAATGGATGGGGATGGGTGTTTTTTCCTGGATAACATGGCCCGGAAAAAGAAGACGATGAAGAGAAGTCTCAGCGTGATGCGTATTAAATTCTTGACAGAGATTTTTAATATTCTGGGTTTTGTCACGCGTATTCTGCTGCATTATGAGTGTTTGTCATCCAGAAAAGACATAGGTGCAGAGGACTTCGACTTCATCAACGAAACCACCACAGGCTACCACCACCAATCTTCCAGCATGCCGCTGAGTGAAGAAACAACGACGGTAACTACCGAAGGTTCCGGAAGATTGCAGAGTGAAGATGAGCCAAACAACTCGTCGTCCAGTACCAGCATTGGCTATCAAATGCAAAAGCATCGTACGTAGTATAAATTGCATTTACGATTACAAATTAGATCAGTATTACAAATTTAATGCTGTTTTACATTTGTCATGCATATTTGCAATTAGTACGAGTGCGATACTTTGGCAATGCATGCCGGCAACACAACAACAGCAACTCAATCGTCGACCGAGGCCATCTCTGAAGACGACAGCATCCCTTTTTGGCAAGCCGGGGGGAACGTCGGCACTGTCCGCGAACGGTTGAACACGCTCTACCAGGAGGCAACGGTGATTGAAAACTTGTTGAAGGAGAAAGAAATATCCTGAGTAAAAACGTACCCACACCAGAGTCAGGATGGGGATTTTGCAACACAAACCTAGGAGTTTTGTGAGTCACGCATGACAAGTTTCAGTCCGTAAGGTAGTGCAAGTTAGCAAGGAAAGCCGCATCACAAGTCGACCTTCTGATCCTGTTTACAGCATTACAAGTTCCCAAACACGATTGAAAATGCCTGTCATGGGGTTGCGCATCACAAATGTTCCTGTCATGGCAAATCTGCATGACAACTCTGGGGTGGGGATGTTTTTACTCAGAATAGGAAAACGCGACAATTTACTTACCCTATAAAGGGTTCGCGAGCCCGCAGTCCTCCTCTACTGCGACGGGGTCCGCGGGTGAAAGTAGTCCTGCTGGAGGTGCAGCAGTAGATGGCACAGGAACAAGTTCATCACCATTTGACCAATTTTCTTCGACCGCCGGAGCTGCCTATGCAGATGCTGAAATAAACCTGACAGACGGGCGAGCTTCCTCTCCTTCTTCCAGCGCCACCTCTTCCTTACCAGACCAAGCGGCAAACAAACCTTTCACGAAGAAAAAATCCCTCTCCTCACTTATCCAGAGGAAAAACGTGCCCATCCCAAAGTTGTCATGCAAATCTGCATCCCAATGCCAATCCCCAGAAAATGAAAATGTGTCACGCGGCTTCGCAAAACGGGCGTTTTCCAGCCGTGCTCGGTAATCTGTCATGCGCGAATCAGGATAAGAGAATGGATCTGTGATGCGTCTGGGTTATTTCCCAAGTATAATGCAGCACTCTACTACGTCCCCAAACTTGTCATGCGCCAGGCCCACAGGTCGTGGATTTGTCTAGCAGATTTCGCATCTTGACTAGGGGGCGAGGACATTTTTACAGAGGATATCTCTCGCGGATATTTCCAAGCGGGAGTTCCAAAAACTTGCCGCGCAGGACCAGCTCGCGCGGTACCTACAGGTGAGGAGGAAACTGAAGGACATGGACATTTATGCATTGCAAAAGTTGGCTCCTACTCGTAGTCGTACTGATTATTGCAATCTCGCATGACAAACCTACGTTTATTTTGCCTGAATTAGCATTACAAATTCCATTTTTCTTTCTGATGAAATTTGTAATGCCATTTGTACTAAAAGTAGATGCTTTTGCAATGCATAGCATTGAAATCCCCTTCAAAATGATTCGCGACGTGGAAACCTACTCCCAGTGGATGCCCATGTGCACGGGCGGGCAGAAGTTGCCGGATAATGTACCAGCGGGGGCGAAGCCGGCGGTGAAAGTGGCTTTCGGGATTGAAACCAACACGTTTATCCTCAGTAAAAACGTTCCCACCTACTTCCCAGAGTTGTCATGCAGGTTCGGATCTACAGGAACATTTGCAATGCGCATCAACATGATGAGAGGTCGTGTTATTTTGGCATATGTAATGCTGTAAACTGAGCAGACGGCTTTGTCGTGATTCACGGCTGTCCTTGCTATTAACCTACACTGCTACTCGCACCACGGACTGCAACTTGTCATGCGTGACAACTTCCAAAGCTTCTGAGGTCTGTGTTGCAAACTCTCCATGTTCTTCTTGACTCTGGCCGATAAAAATTGGGGACGTTTTTACCTAGGACAACGCTTTTGGGGGTTTTGGGGGACGATGTGACGTACGAGATGGAGGTGTTTGAACCGACGGAAAGCGCAGCATATGCAATACAAATTTTCCGTACATGTACAAGATGCATCACAAATTTCACCAATTTGGAGCGTAAAACTTGTCATGCTAAACTAGGATCGAAGCCAAGTTTTGTCATGCAGAGACCGCATTTGTACATGTACGGGAAATTTACAGTGGATACAGCAGGTCCAGGATCTACGACGGTGGAGGCGCGGATTATCGCGGACACGGGGGCGCGGGGGTTTGCGTACGGGGATCGGTTGGTCTACGACTGGATTTTTATTTCAAAGGACAACGAAACGGAAGTGTCTCTGAACTTGTTTTTGAAGGTCAATTCGGTGTTGTACCTGCCGATTTGGGATACCATGCAGGCGGTATTGACGGATAAAATGCTGCAGGCGTTTGAAGAACACGCGAAGAAGATAAAGTGAGGATGTGGTTGATGATGTGAGAAAGATTTCATATTATTTTCTCTAATGTTGGTGTTGCATGTTGACGTCGTGCGAGTAGCAAGCAATTACTCGTCGTGACGCACAGCGAGCTAGTATTCCTATTCACCGCCCGCGATGTCGAACAAGAAGACGCTAAAGTGAGATTGATTGCGCTTGTGACACCGCAGCTCCAAGTTCGAATTGTTCTTTGTGTGGTCGTAGAAGTCAAAGAGCACGCACTAACACTCGGCTGCAAAGGTACTAATGCGTACAGATGGGCAGCCGCCGTGTCTTTTGTTAAGAAATCAGGACAAACTTCTAGTCGAAGTCCTGGCTCCTCTTATTGTGTTCGGGGAGAGAAACAAGAAGGAGAAGCGATGAGGGGGAGGCCGTTTTGTTGTGGTCGAATGGTTCTCGTTGTTCAGCTGAAACAAGAGACCGGGGCGCTTTTTGTGCGACTTTTGTCGGCGGAAAAGCTGAAAGTAGTCCGCCCGTTTATGGGCGTACTCGCAGCGCAGGGAAACAAGGCGGCGAGAACTAGTCCGGGCCCGCATGCTCTCCGGGATCCACATGCGCCACGTCCGGGCCTGGCTCTGATCGCCCCCGCCGCGCGCCCGGTCCAACGAACCGGCTGAAGGCCCCCCATTGTGGTGCCTGCCATTTTCAAGCGAAAGAGGCGCAAGCAAGTTGCAGAAGATTGCCCGCCGACACCTGGCACGGTGGGCGACAACTGGCACGGGGTGGGGCGCCCCGCGCTGTGTTTCGTTCGGCCGTTTCATAGCCCACACGCGGCAGGCGCTGACTTGTTGGGGATGGGTGGCCGCCCCGTCGCCCCCGTTCGCCGCGTCCGTCGAAAGGGCGGGGCCGGACGCATTGTTGCGCGACGGACTTGGGAGGGGCGCGCGGCCCTTCGGGGTGCGCCCAGTCTAGAAGGACCAAGGGGGCACGGGGGTCGGTCGCGCGCCGTGTTTCGCGTCGTGGGGGCGCGGGGCTTCGGGGGATGGCCCTCGCCCCCCCCCCTTTTGCGAGGGGCGCCCCCTTGCGTGGCGCGCACGCAGGGGCCGCCCGGCGCTTTAAAAGATAGGCAGCGCCGCCCTGCCTTGAGGGTGGGAGGAGCGAGGGCCGGGAGGTTGACCCGAAGAAGAGTCGCCCTGTGCCCCGAGGCCGTACAGCGAGGCACGTCCGGCGATGAGTACACTCTTGGACGCGCGCGCGCCCGGTTCGTTGATGTGAGTGGCCCGCGCGTGTGGTGCGCGTGATGTTTGCCCAAGCAGGGCGGCGCCTTTCGCGCGCCGCTTGGCTTGGCGCGGCCGCCTGCCTGGGTGGCGGCGTCGCCGTTGTCTGTCTCGGGGCGGGGCTAGCGCCCGGTCGGCGCAGACCCCCGGGCGCCTCCGCGTTTGCCTGCGGCCGGGCGCGATAGTGGGGGCCGGCGGGGCGGTGTGTTTCGCCGAAGTAAGGCGGCAGGCAGAGGGGGGGAGGCGCCCCGCCGGCGCGACGTCCTGCCTCGCTTCGCCTTCGGGGCCTGCGGTCTTGGTTTGTGGGCGGTGTCCCGGCCATTCTTTGGTATATTTGTTTTTGGCCGCAGCTGGCCAGCCTGGCTACCCTGGGAGGGTGGCGCCAAACTCTCTCTCAGTGATTGCGAGGCAGCCAAGTAGCCCGGCTCGCACGCTTTGCTTGGGCGATTCGACTCCCTCGTTGTGGGAGCATTAGTAGAGTGATTGTTGTGGGCGAGATTATTTTCTCGTGGAAGATCACCAATGGCCCGCTCTTCTCAGAACGGTTCTGGCTGCGCAGTGCGTTGCCCCGGCATTGTTCCATGCATTTCGTACATTGATAGAAGCAGAACCGGTTGCGAAAAAGTTGAGGTAGTAGTAGAGAGAGATGACGAGAAGAGATGTCGTTGACAACTTTAATCGCATGCTCGGCGCGAATAGTAGCTCTCGGGGAGTTGCGATGCGAGATCGAGAGGAGGATGAGAATTCTTGCGCATCATGATGTGAAATGAGATTGCTTTCTGCCTGCGTACTATTGTAGCTGTCAGAACACGATCATGTTAGAAATGTTTCCTCAGTATTGACATCCGTAGTTGTTGCTGTCGAAGGCGAAGGACAGAACAAAGGTGGACCAGGTTCTTTCTCAACGGCGTTTATCTTTATCTTCCATCGTGCAAGCAAGAAAATGAGCCGTGTTCTGTCCGCTTTCGATCCTGCGCAGAACCTTTTCGACGGTTTTTTTCACAACACGAGTAAACTACAAGTAGCCCCTTCATCCTCGTCGTCGGCGAACTTTGTTGCCAGAAGAGCGGCTCCGCTGCCGCGAAATACAACCACTGGCACTTGTGCTCAACCTCCCTGCTTGCTGAATCATTCCGATCCGACGCTCGGTGGAACAACCGCAAACCCCGCACCAGCAACAATACGAAGGAGCCAGGCGACGTCGTTTTTGTTTCAACCAAACCACGAGGTGCAGAATGCTCGTCACCAGAACTACTCGAGCTTCTCATCGTCCGGTGGTGCTACAGGAAGGTCAGCTGGAGCAAGACACCCATCTTCATCATCGTCAAGTACAAGTACAAGCAGTTCTTCGAGTGCATCAACTATACTTGCACCACCTGCAACACACTTTACTCAGCACCACAGCCCCTTGCTGCATAACAAACACAAAGCAGATCCGAAAACCAGTTTCATCATGCGGTTTTACTCGCACATTGACAAAGCGGCATCTATATCAAATGCAAAAATGTCTGGGTCTGGAACATTCTGACGCTTGTCATGCACGTTTTGCATGAGCCCTGATGTCTGTGATGCATGCCCTAGCATCACAGATTTTTTCAGAGCTTCTTGATGCCCATTCCGCATGACAAATGTCCTCTCCGCGTAGCAAAAATTACAGCCCTTTTGGTACTCATGCAATACAGATTTTTCTGGAATCCAAATGCAGCATGACAAGTTGCATTCTTCCAGACCCAGACACTTTCACATTTGATAATCTACCTCCACCTATTCGGAAGGTGATGTCGACGACACGTTTTCGGCGGAAAAAGCGCTGGCGCTGGGCAGCGGGTAAGATAAAACAAATCTTCGCTTTTCCTGTTGTTTGTCATGCGCGATTTTCATTCTCCTTCTCTCCTCTGATGAGTTACAGCACCCGCATTCAGAAAGACACAAGAAATATCATCTGAATTTTTTATCAAACACCTGCTTCCACACGACTACTTTCAGTTATTGGTGTTCTTCCGGCAAGCACGGCTTCAACGACGTCGTTTCTTACGCGGGGGAGCTGAAACACCGCAAAAAGCTCTCCGGCGTGAAAATCTTCTGGGCCTACGCACCGGGGAAAGTACAAATCCGAACCAGTCCGGACGGCGTGCACTGGAGCACGATCATACCCTTCCACGCGAGTCCCCGGTCGGAGGTGACGTACGAACAAAACTTGTTGTTCGACAAGCAACGATATGAAATGTAAAAATGTCTGGGTCTGGAAGAGTGCATGTTTGTCATGCTTGTCTGGCATGAGTCTTAAATCTGTCATGCACGTTACCCAAGAGCACTATTTTTCTGTGATGCAGAAACGCAGTCTGGCATGCAGAATAGGCAACACCTAGAAGCTCAGAAACTTGTCATGCTGAGCCAGTACCTGTGGCCTCATCATGAGACGCCCCCCAGCATCACAAGTTTCCAGACCCAGACACTTTCACACTTGATAAACGAAACGTGAAAAAGATCAGTGTGGACATGACGAATCCGCGGCCTTGGGGGTTCTTCGGGATCAACCAGATATCGCTGCTGAGGTGACGAAAATTTTTTCCTGGGACGAGTTTTGGAGGGGATTGAAACTCCTAGCTGATTGTGAGGAAAAATAAAATCAAGCGTAGTGGCCAGTGTAATAGATTTTGTTTTTGGCTCTACGCTGTCCTCAGTGACGGGCAAGAGTAGAGCAAGACTCATTATGTTCCGAGAACAGCAGGAGCAGGAAATGAGAATGACCATGACGTTGTTAAGAACACAAAAAAAGACACGTGTGGTTTCAAGTTTCTGTTTCGACTACTTCCGCCAAAATGTAGCACCATTGATGATTTTGCTTTTAAGGCAATCTTCTTGTTGGCGAAACTACGTGTCAGACATGATGACTATCTCGACGACGGAGCAGTGTGGTCGTGTTCTCGTTGATGTAGATGCTCCTCCTTACAGAGTCTGTCCGTGAGAACCACAGGGTCTGTACTACAGACCCTGTTGAATGAGCAGAAAATGGACAAACTGATGTGTAAACAGTGGCGCGGCGAAGCATTTTTTATTCTAGAGAACGAGCGCGAGCGGAAGTGAGACCATGCAGGGCTGCAGCTGGATGTGGATCACCAGCACCGCCTGCAGCAGCAACATAAATTCATTCATTTATTAATTATATGAATATTGCTGCCTGGCAGAGAGGAGAGAGACGCTTGCGAAACACGAACGGAATGTAGCCGACTTAATAGAATGGCGATGGTTATAATGACTCGCGCGCGGCACCAAGTCCGTTCCGGCGGGCGGGTGTTGCGTCCGTCCTCCCGGCGGCCGTTGGGACTGGTTTTTCGCCATACCCGCCGACGGCCGCGGCGAGGTCGATAGCTGGCGGAGAGAAGTCGCGAGGGCCGCCAAATGGGCCGACCTGACCTCGCGGGCGCGCACGCCATCGACACCTGATCGACTCCGGCCCGACTTTCCAGCAGGGCCGTCGCGCGCGCGCAGAGAGAGATTGGGCGGACAGCCAAAGGGCCGCAGCGTGCCAGTGCCTCCTCGTGCTTTCCACCAAGTTGCCACGCAGTTTCAAGCTACCCAGTATATCAGTTTAGCACGCCACCCAGTGCAAGCCCGTTAGAGCTCGGCGCCCCCTCCAGTGTGAGTTCCAGGCGGAGGCTCGCTCCGCCTACCAGGCAGGCGCCGCCCGGCGCCTCTCCGCATTTCTCTACTTCTGTCGGCGAGTCGAGGGGGCCCAACAAGCCCCGCCATCATGCCCGGCCGGCCCGCCGAGACGGCACCTGCGAGCGGCCGGGGCCCGGCATACCACCTGCCCGGACGGAGGGGGGCCGGCGCGCGCGGTTCTCAGCGTGTGTTGCCGGGGGCGTGGCCGATCAATCTGAGGGGGCAGGCTCCGGCAGCGAAGCCCCGGAGCCCGCCAGCGTGTGGCGCGCCAGCTTCTTTCTTCGCGCTGGTTTGCAACTCTAGCGCGTATGGCGGAGTGGCGCGCGTTTGGCTTACCATTGCCAGCTACCCTGCCTGCTCGTGCGGCCAGGGTTATATTCGTTGACTACCTATGGCCATTTGCTGCCTGCGCCGCTGCAATCATTTTTATTTTGTTTCAGCGTTATCCTTGGAGGCGCCCCCAAACCGTGACCCGTAATCGGGCGAGGGCTTCCTTGCAGTGGCCCACGAGTTCTCTTGTGCAGTGTGACTCAGGTTGTGCGAGTGTTTCTGAGAGGGAGTTGAGATGAAAGGGAAAGCCGAGATGTAATCAAAGCAGCTTGTTCAAAACTGTGGCAGACGCATGAGAGCCAATGAAGAGAGAGTATGTTCTTGATGCATTCATCATCCGATTTTCCTATTGCTTGCAAGGTTGTGCTGGTAGCTGGAGAGCCGCAGCCACGTGGCTCTACCGCGCGCCGGTTTGCAACGAGCGACCGAACATACCTGGACCTTGTCCAAACGCGGCCACCCAACCTGCGCAACTCTACTGCGACCGAAAGCTAACACTCATTGGCTACGCCGCCTCGCGCTGCCTTCATTCTTTTGTGTTGGCTCAACTGAAAATATTAAACTTCTAACTGCCATCGATAAAAAACAACTTTATTCTTTCACGACAATCCCTAGTCTGTTGCAAAAAACTATGACTCAACTTGGCGACTCGGAAAAGCCAACTTCCGCCGAAGACCAAAGCAAAGAACAAGGTGACAAGCAGAAAACGGAAGGCAGCAGCAAAGACGAAGCTCTAGCTGCTGCGTCCGACGAAGCTGGGAGCCCGAACTCACCTGCTGCATCCCCGGAAGCGTCTCCAGAAGCCTCTCCCGAAATGTCACCCCCTGCACGGGACAGTGACAAGGGCGACAGTATCCTGTGCAAAACTACCATCGTACTAGTATAAATCGCATGACAAATTTTCTCAGCATGAGAAATGCAATTTGTAGTGCGGGTTTACCTAACGAGAAGAGCTTCAATTTGTAACGCATGGCTGCGATTACTACTAGTAGGTACGATACTTTTACAATCCATAGATAGCCCGGCGTCGCCAAGCTCGGGGCAGAGATATGAAACAACAGGATGTACTTCTTGGTCGCGTAATGTTGCCATCTTCTACTAGTGTGTAGTACAACACTCTTGCGATTTATTCGATTTGTGATGTGGAGTAGCAAGAACATGGGCAGCACCAGCTGCATTTGCAAGATTCAGCTTCTTCAGTCCATGTTTGCTGCATGACAATGTCAACAAATTATCGCAGCTCAGTATGATGAAGATGGCAGCAGCACCATGACTACTTTTTAGCATTGCATACCAATCCGGAACCAGTTATGGAAGTGTCAGAATCGAAATTGACAAAATCGAAAAACTTGTGATGCATAAAATCGATACCAGTTGGTGCCTCAGTTTGCAAGCGGCGCATGACAAATTTCGGGAGCACCCAAATGCAGTCTGTCATGCTGTTTGGGCAAAGAAGACTGCTCCTGTCATGCTACTCTGGCAGCACATTGCACACCCCTAAACAGGCTTGCAATCGGACTCATTTGCCTGCTCCCCAACACAGGCCACGCGTGCCCTACATTTTATGCATTACAAATTTTTCGATTTCGACTTTGTCAATTTCGATCCTGACACCCCCATACCAGTGACTAACAACCAGATGACGCCAGAAGAGATGGCGAACGCGGTAAATAGGATTTTTTTTGCTCCGTCGTGAAAATGAAAAACATCTTTCTATGCATGCAGCGTGAGAAGGAGCACAACTACAAGCACGATAGGCCGCTAATGGCAATGTTCTTCCGCATGACAAATTGTTGGAATGATAAATTTTTATCCAGGCTTCGCAGGCGGCTTTCCAGAAGTTTTCGAAGGACTACATGATGCTGCAGAACATGAATTCAAACAGTTTGCCAAAACAAGGCGACAGAGACAACGTGAAATTCGCTTACTACAAGAAGAAGCAAAATTCCGACTCGCCAACCAGCAATGAGGAAAACTCGGACTCGCCGAACTCTAACCTGTGCAAAAGTATCGTACTCGTACTGCAGTCATGCATTACAAGTCCTTTTGTTAAGGTAAATCCGCATTACAAATTCTATTTCTCATGCTGAGGAAATTTGTAATGCAATTATACAGTGCGATACTTTTGCAATGCATAAACTCTCCCTCCAACCGAAACCGGAAGAGGGACGCCGGTGATATGAAGGTCCTATCCACAGGAAATTTCTGGTACACGTACAAGTCCAGCAATTGCGGTCTCTGCATGACAAAACTTACCCTCGGTCCTGGTGTAGCATGACAAGTAGTTTTACATTTCAAATTGGCGAAATTTGTGACGCATTTTGTACATGTACCGGAATAAATTTGTAGTGCATAGGTCCCGAAAAGCCGCAACGAAAACAAACCGGTGTACACGAATACCGACCGCAGCCACGGTTTCCACAAGATCGAAAACACGGACTATGACGAACAAGTGAAGAAGCAGCTATGGAAAACAGAAAGAACTCAGCCGTCCTCTTCATACACGACTGGTTTGTGATGCTGCGTGAGGAACTCTCACATGAAGAGAATGTCAACATGCCTTTCATCTTTATCTATGTTGCGTCTATATTGTGCATTACAATCGTGTGCTGGAAGATGATGATGAATTTGTCTTGCATAACCAGTCGACAACGGGTCCTACACTAAGTACCGTTCTGGTGTTTACCTCGCGTCTGGAACCTCCCACGGCGACTACGTTTCCAAGGGGAGTAATTTCCACGGCAACCACTTTCACGATGCGGTCAACATGTTTGGTGCATCCAATATCGACACCGACAACAACGACGGAACGATATGCATTGCAAAAGTAGTATCGTACTAGTAGGAATTGGAATTGCATTACAAATTTTCTCAGAAAAAAAAGGAATTTGTCATGCTGAGCAGCTACTAAGTAAAGTAGATTTGTCATGCGAGGCTGCAATTACTACATAGTACGATACTTTATTTGCAGTGCATAAACGACCGTGGGCAACAAGATCTACAAATCCTACAAGAACCTGTTTGAAAAGCAGGAGAAAATCGACTCCTATCAGCAGACCTTGTTGTTAGACGAGGACTTGGATATCATGCCGATTACCACCTCTCCCCACGCGTTTAAGGTCTACTTGGTCCTGTACGTGATTGGGATCGTCGGGGTTATCATGCTGCTGAGGAAGGTGTTCGGGTCAAGCAACTACTCGGTGACCACGAAATCCGGCATGAGGGGCGGGATGGAAATGGGATCTAGGAGTGGCGGGGTATGCATTGGTAGAAGCTGCTGCTATTGCACACGACTATGCGAAAGGTGGGGATGAAACTGGCCATGAGTGTAGAGAGCAACTCGTCATGTTCGAAGATGTGACGCACATGTAAAGTGGAAAGAGGTTTGTAATGCACGGCTGCAGGACGAGTTTGAAACATGTAAGTAATCATCCCCACCGAGAAGTGCGAGCAGCGCTATCCAACTTTTGCCTTGCATACAATGGTAGCCCGGGGAAGATGGGATCAGGATTCGGGCTCGGCGGAGGAATGATGCAGCAGCATATGATCCACAAAAAAAGAGGACCCATGATCCTTTTCTTGCATGACAGACACTGGATCTGATGCGTTTTTTGCATGACAAATTTGAAGATGTGGATCATGCGTCTTTTTTTGGGGATACACCACCCCGGTCCGGAGGACGTGGAGACCGGCAGTCCAGTATCCTGTGCAAAAGTATCGTACTCGTACTACTAGTTGCGTTTATGCATTACAAATCTCTCTTTCAAGGTGAATCAGCATATACAAATTTAATTTGTAATGCTGGGCTAATTTGTAATGCAATTTGTACTAGTGCGATGCAATGCTTTTGCATTCCATATCCAGTGATGGGTTCACCGGAGGATTTGTTCGTGCAGGGGAAGTTTGAGTAAGATGGATTTTTGAGCAAGGAGGACTTCTAGATAAAAACAATTTTGGCACGTCAATGGAGGCTGCAGGAGGCAAGAGGGGGATACAGGTTTTACCATCATGAGTGCAGCTGTCCAGATTTTGTTTTTCAGTAATTAGCGAACGATCCAATAGGCCCACTGGAAGTACTTGTTGGCGGACAGGAGGAATTTTTCCAATTAGGAATTGCAGAAATAAAGTTACGTTCACCATTATGACAGCGAGCTTGCTACTGCCGCGCCCTTGTTCAATTTTACGTCTCTTTCACCAAGAAGTCCTGCTGGAGGTAATGCGATCGAGTGGTTTCAAAAAATATTTAAGTGAAATTCATCTTAGAGTACAGCAGACACATTATTAAGCAACAGATACGAGAATGAGGAAAATAAACTTCGGGAATAGGCTAATGCAATAGGTTGAAGACTTCTACTTCTATCACTATCACGGTCTTCATCGAGAAACGAAAAGTTGCCGATTTTTTTTCCAACTATGGCTTTAGATGATCATGATCTCTCAAACGAGAGCAAGAGTTTAGAAAGGAATAGAAGCTGTTTTGTTTTCAATATGTTGACGGAGACGGGGTGGGACTTCCTTTCGCTCCGCTGTCATGTCGTTAAGCCACAAAAGAAGAAGTGCACTGTAGTCGTGCGGTAGATTTTGTTTAAACTTTGAACAAGCTGCGTGGTTTCATCGCCGCCACGGCAGATGAAAGAATGTACAAATTATACAAGATGCCAAGAACAGAAACAGTCGTCTCCAGTGTAATCTTTGTCAAAGAACAAACGACCATGGAGAAGTTTAGCAGGGGCATTGGACGAATTGAAATGTTCAGAATGTTGAATGCAATACGCTGTAAATGTGGCACCACACGTACTAAGTGGAACTTTCTAGGAATGAGGAAATTTTGAATAAATTGCCCCCCCTTCGAATTCTCTTCCGACTGTAGCAGCTTTTCGTAGCTGTGTTTGGCTGGCGTGGCGCGCCAGCATTTGTTTGTTGTATTCGAAAATGGAAAGGGGAAGCGACTGCGTCAGAGTTCAGACGCATTGCCGCGCAGTGAAATCACCAAAGCAGGCTGGCGGCTTTTCGGGTGCCACTCACCTCGATAGCCAACCAGCCATCGCCGGAGGCTCAACACACACCCACAAAGCCGCGCTTCATCTGAATAACGGCAGCGATCTCTACATGTGCATCGCAGTCAGAGCAGCGCGCTAAGGTGGCAGGTCTTTGAGGTCTCTGGGCCTATTCTACCGAACACCAGCCCCCCGGCAATCCCCTAGTGGGGATCCCAACCTAACGCGGCAGCCCTGAAAGGGGCCAGTGGGGTCGGACGCGTGGCCTAGCCGTCTTGAGGAGGTGCGGAAACATTTGAAAAGAAAGGCGGAGGACTACCCCGGCGCCCTCAAGTGCGGCGGCCGGGTTTTGGCGGGGTGCCCCAACAAAGGTCGCGCCCGAGGGCTCAGCCCCGCGTTGATTTTTTTGCTATTTCTTCCATGCTTCAAATAGCGCTCTGCGCTTTCCGCTCGTGATTCAATTTCCGAGGAAAATGCCGAAGGGGGGGTCGCGGGGGGGCCGGATTGGGCCTCCGGAGGGCCCCCTCTGAAGGGGGCCAAAATCGCCCCCGTGCCGTCGTGATTCAATTTCCGAGGAAAATGGCGAAGAGGGGGCTCTGAGTTTTCCTCGGAAATTGAATCGCGACGGTATGGCGCCGTTTTTTGCCTTGTTTCGAGGCGAGTCTGGGGCCTGGTCTGTTTTGCTGGCTTTCCCGGGCTCCCTTTTTTGGGTAGCGAGCGCGGCAGCAAAACACGCCCGAAGCGAGGCCAAAACCACCACCATAGCACCGCGATTCAATTTCCGAGGAAAATTTCGAGTCCGGCGCGAAATGCCCGCAAGTTGAAGGCGTTAGGAGCAAAGACGCGGCAGGTTGATTCACGGTGGGAAGCTGTCGACGGCGTGGGATGTTTGGCGCGGTTCGGTAAGGGGGTACACCTGCCCCGCTATAGAGTGTTTATTTGTAGCGCATGGCGTCCATGGGTAGGAAGGTCCATGGCGCCTGAGGTTTTGGCTTAATAGCTTTGAGAATGATGCGCGTGTGTGGAGGCGCCACCGTTCGGAGAGCCATGCGTTGTCTTTTTGATGCAGCCGCGATACAGGCCATTATATGCGAGCCGCGGATGACTCTCCAGGCTCGGCTACCGCAGTTGTCCGCGGGGCTCTTCGAGCTCTTCTTGCGCAGCGGTATTCGCAAATGGGCCGGCACGGGGCCGCGACCTGATATCTCCACCTGCCTACTTTCATCTGGGGATTGAAATTTTTCGAATTTTCCTCATTCCTAGAAACTTCCGCTTAGTAACACGTAGGAAAAATGAAGACACAGCAGAAAAATCAAGAAGCGGCTTCTCGTGCTGCTGACAGCGAAGTTTTCTACTGCACGATGACACTGACAGCAACGAAGTCTAGAATTTCTGGCCCTGATTATCGATGTTCCAGCGCGATTTTGTGGCGTAAGTACCTGTCGCAGCTATTTATGTTGAAGCGAAAGCGACATTGGTCTGCCTCGCGTCAAAAAGCTGAAGTCTTGCGAAGATCTACCACAGCTTCTGTGTTTTTTCTTCAACGCAAGAAATGCACTTGAATCTACTTTCGTGACAGAGCAGGACGGGGAGACGTTCGATGAACGACGCGTATTGCATGTAGTGGCACCACTATTACTAGATGAAGCAGCGACAAAGTATAAGTAGGAATATATCGACATGAAGATGAACTTGAAGTCCTAGTAGCATGGTCCGACGTTTCATTCCCTCCTGGTGCGGATGAAATTCTACTTAAATTTCAGTAGACCCGGCGTGTTTCCTACCAGCTTGAAGAATCAGATTGCAGAACAAAGGTTCTAAGTTTACATTTTCATCTACCGTATTGTACCATCCCAACAGACTGCTTAAGTTTTTTTTCTCAACATCGAATACACGACCACGTCAAGAATCGACGAAACAAGATGCGGCAACATCAGCACAACATCAAAGTAGAACAAACTGCACCGCGGTCTGTTTGGCAGCAGACCGCAGTGCGAGTCCTTTCCGCCGCGTGGGGCTGTGCGAAAACCAAGCTCGAGCGGCACATCAACCCCACAGTAATCCTGTTCCTGCGTGAACTGTGGGTGTGGTTGCTACAGTGCCCCGCTTTGAAAATGTGTGACAAGAGAGGTGGACCACAACAGCACGACAAAGCGACACCGAGGAAACTTGGAAGACGGAGCATGAAAATCGACCTTTTCAAGCAACGGCTGGGGACGGGCTTCACTGCTGAAAGAGACAGGTGCTCTACTTCAAACACGGGTCTTGCGGGAGGAGCAGGAGAAGGGATTTGCAATGCTGCTGGCCAATCAACATCATCGAACGAAAAAACAATGCTATCTCCGTCATCCTCCTTAACCTTCTCCCGAGGAGGAACCACATCCACATCAAATAATCCGGAGCACATCAAAGCCACCGTCTCGAATTTGATCCAGCAGCATTTGTATCGAATGCAAATATGTCTGGGTCTGGAAGAGAATTGCGCGACTTGTCCTGCAGATTTTGCATGACCCATAAGGTCCGGAATGCAGGAACTAGCATGACAGATTCTGTGGCAACATCTCGATCCTGCCTGTCCTGCATGAGAAACTCCCTCTCAACTCGGCCAAAAGTGGACAACTTTTGCTAGACACGCAACACAGGTTTTTACAGTGTGCAGGCTCAGCATGACAAGTTGCAACCTTCCAGACCCAGTCGTATTTGCAATGCATAATTTGAGGCAAACCATCTTCGAGAATCGCCCGTATGCTGACCAAGAGCAGCTGAATGAGGACTTCGTTGTCGATATGCATTGCAAAAGTATCGTAATCGTACTCGTATAAAAATAAATGCATATACAAATTTCCCCAGCATGAGAAATAGGATTTGCAATGCAGATTTGCCTTGGGAACAAGATTTGTAATGCAAGACTTGCATTTAAATTTATACGAGTGCGATATTTTTGCACAGGATAGTCGAAAAAGTCGCGGAATCCATTCTCTTCACTTTGGAAAACTCCGCCATGCTGCTCGCAGATGCTGCCGCGGAGAAACAGCGGGAGCAGGAGGAACATTATGCAAGAAGCTCCTCGTACGACTACTACAAAAATCACAGTAACTCATCTTCGTATTACTACGGTTCTTACGGATCTTCTGCAGCTACCAACTCGTCGTCCTACTACGGCTTGGGTACTAGCAGTGGTTCAACTTCTACTTACGGCTACAACAACACGTACTATACCAACACAGCCACCGCTACTCCCTCAACATCGTCCCAGCTTCAAGACCAGCAGGACAACAAGCTCCAGATTAAATTACTCCAGAGGATCGCGAAACAGCTGCTGCAGAAAACCCGAGAGCTCGGCTCCTTGGCCGTTTACGCAACGCTGCCTTATGAATGCGAGGTGCAGAGTGACTTGGTTGCGGATTACGCGCTATGCAATGCAGGAGTATCGTACTAGTAGAAATCGCATGACAAATTCACTCAGCATGAGAAATGGAGTTTGCCATGCTGTTTTGCCTTGGGATCGAGATTTGTAATGCATGAATGCGATTACTACGAGTGCGATACTTTTGCACAGGATACGCGCTTCCGAAAAAAGCAGTGTTGTGGCCGAGGACAGGGTATAGTAAAAATCTTCATGCTGGTGCTTCGTCTTCTACTTCCGGGGAAACAAGAAATCAGCAGCAGCCGCGTGGTCAAAAGGTGACCCAACCGGACATTATGTACTCGTTTCACTTATCAAATGTAAAAATGTCTGGGTCTGGAAGATTGCAACTTGCCATGCTAAATCTGAAGCATGCAAAAATCTGTGTTGCATGATTGCCAAAAGCCGTCCAGTTTTGACCAAGTCTGGAGGTAGTTTCTCATGCAGGATAGGCATCAGAAAGGTCTCGCAGAATCCCTGCATTCCAGACCTCATGGGTCATGGAAAAGCAGCATGACAAATCGCGCATTCTTCCAGACCCAGACATTTTTACATTTGGTATCACTGTCCGTGTTGTTACCGGCCACAGAATATGCATTGCAAATATCCCCGGGTCCTCTGGAATAAACCTGTAATGCTGAACGGTCATGAGTGAGAGCGCCTTTAAGTGCAGTGTAGCACGACAAATTTTCCAAGCGCTCTCTCATGTTTAGCGCGCATTACAAACTGCACTTTTCCATGACGAAATTATTCAAATTGTGGCGCTTTTGATGCTTCTATGCAACACAGATTTTTCTGGAATCCTGGACACGCAATACAGGTTCAACCTTTCCAGAGGAGCCAGACATATTTGCAATGCATACAGAATTTGAAGATGTGGCACTTGAACGGAGAGTGGGATGAGGATTTTTCCAGAGTATCCTGTGCAAAAGTATCATATAATTCGTATTGCACACATGCATTACAAATTTTCTTGTTAAGTCAAATTCGCATGACAAATTTTATTTCTCATGCTAAGAAAATAATTTGTAATGCATTTATACGAGTACGATACTTTTGCAATGCATACAGAGAGCCCAGCAACAACTCCTGTGAAGATGAAAATGAACAACATCTTCAGCCACACGATAAAGCTACAGCAGAACAGGAAGACCAAAAGAACTCGCAACTCTTCCTCGGTGCTTATGGCGTTCTCAAACGTTACACTCTCAACTGTTACACGAGTTTGTGATGCAAAAATGGAAAAAGTGGACGGGGTGACCTGACCTTGCGCGTCTTGCATGACAGATTTGGAACAGTTTCTCAGCCTGTTTGGCCCTTCAAGAATTTGTCATGCAAAGCAGCTTGACCGCGCCGATTCTGATTGTAGTTTTGCGTGACAAATCATGTAACAGTTGAGAGTGTAGCAGTTGAGAGCGCCATAGTGCTTTTGCAGCGGAGCAGTCGGCAAGGTTTTGGAATGAACACGATCCGATGTATATGCATTGCAAACATGTCTGGGTCTGGAAGGTTGCAACTTGTGATGCTGTCTTTGAATTCGAAAAAAATCTGTATTGCATGCCCACAAGGAGGAGTCTAGTTTGTTCTACGCCAGGAGGCCATTTCTCATGCGGGATAGGCATCAGGAAGCCGTCTAAAAATCTGTGATGCCAGGTCATGCATTACAGGCATCATGGAGCATAAGAAATGCGCATGACAAACCTGGCTTTCGTCCAGACCCAGACACATTTGCATTTGATAATGTACTTTCACTCCCGGGTGTGTTACGAGGAAACGGAGACTGCGAAACCCTTGCAGGAACTGGTGAAACAACAGCTTTTGTTGACCACGACAGACAAGTCCTCGTTTGATGTGATGGAGGAAAACGACCACCACTATGGAAGTAGTTGGTCAACATCTGATGAACACAAAACATCTTCACCGACATCATCCGCAGCAGAAATCCAAATCATCGACTTTGAGGAGGTGTTAAAAGTCAGAAGTATTATCGGGGAGGAGGACGAAACTTGGAATTTTCGCTACACCTCCGACCGCACGAGGGAGAACTGGAGTGGCAACATGGAGCCTGCTCCGCCGTCCTCGGGAGATTCTTATGAAGAAGATCATGTTGCGGGAGGACTATCCTGTGCAAAAGTATCGTGCTCGTATAAATGCAAGTCTTGCATTACAAATCTTGTTCCCAAGGCAAGTCCGCATTACAAATTTCATTTCTCATGCTGAGCGAATTTGTAATGCATTTATACGAATACGATACTTTTGCAGTTGATAAGGACCACAGGACTACAATTTGGATACAACCACAGTGTCCCCTGCAAATAATGCAATCGAAAGCTGCAACTCTAGTAGTTCGAGAACCTCTTCGGAAATGAACCCGTCTTGTTCCTCGCAGGGAGATGAGTCGCAGACGGGCAATCCGGGCGAGAGCAGACGTGATGATGCTGTTGTTCTTGGAGGAGGTCCTCGTGAGACATCACCACCGGAGACCACGACGCTGCCGGCGGTAGACCTACAGGTAGGACTACAACCTGCTGGTGCAGCACCACTAGCAGGACACGCGCCGGTGGTGGAAAAATCGAATCTGAACGAAGGGATGGTTATGGAGGAGGACGAGCAAATGCGAGGAAACCAAGACGGTGTCAACAACTTCTCCGGGAGGACGACAAGTTGGTCAAGAGGTTACAGTGAAAATTGGGGTGGACAGGAAGTGAACGAAAAGAACCCGCCGGAGAACGACTGCGTTTGGAGTAGAAATGGAGACGAAGTAGATCCTGCACAAGAACGCAAATCAAGTACGTTGTCCTCGTCTTCCGAAGGCAACATTACAACTACTTCCGAGGATGACTGCACACAAATTTCCGCCCTTGTGACTGCGAAAGAGGACGGGCAAGAAGAGGGTTCTAAAAATATCACTTCTGAAGACGATGATGATGAAGTAGCAGAAGTAGGCCAACAAGATAAAAACGAAACGAACGGTGACGGAAGAACCTCTGCAGAGCAGTTGCATCAACCACGAGAAATAAAAGAACGAGCGGCAGAAGATGTAGTTGAAGCAGTGACGCCAACTCTGCTCGAAGACGGTAAACTTGTGAACATAGACGCTATACTCAAATCCAAAACGGCACCTGTGGCAGCTCCGACTTCGACAGGCGCTCCTCGGTCATCTACTAGTGGTAAGGACGGCAACGAAGAACAACAAGAAAATCGGTACAACTACTACGACCAAAAAATGAATTACGACGGCTTCTACTCCTCATCTTCTTCTGCTTTCAAAAACAGTTCTTTTTCGGCCCAGTGGACGGAGGAAGAGTGGCAAACGTGGAAAAACAACAAGGACAAAGAGGAGGAGCTTGCGGACGCGAAAATCAAAAGGCAGGAACTGCTCGACGAACAGGCGCAGCGAGAAAAAATCAAAACACAACTGTTCCAAACCCACCCGCGGATACAGGCCATCGTTGAAGCGAATAGATGCAACGGGGAACTACAAGTAGATCATGAGCATCAACAAGGTTCTTCCTACTTCCAGGACCCGCACATCAAGAAGTGCGCGTTTGTGATTTTCCTGTGGGGGGAGTCGATTGAGTACGTGTTGGGGGCGTGTGTGTTTAGGCAAGGCAAAAGTATCGTACTGGTGCACGTAGCATCACAAATTTTCTCAAGTTGAAAAATGGATCTTGTAATGCTGCTTTGGGTAGAGGATGAAAGTTGTATATGCTAATGCAGTGCTGCGATTACTATGCGATACTTTTGCAGAGGATAGTGTTAGGGAAGTCACTACTGGAAACGGATACAAAACATGATCTGCTCTGTCTTCATACCAAGGACGTCACAGAGCTGAAAACGCTGGAGAAATTTTGGAAGTGCAAGGAGATCAACCACATAGAAGCGACGGACAAGGGATTGTTCAACGGCTGGAAGGACCAAAACCGCTTCTGCTACGTGTTCACCAATATCAAATGCAAATATGTCTGGGTCTGGACGAAAATTGCAGAACCACTTGTCATGCAGGTTTTATTCCGTGACCCATGTGAGAACTGAAATGCAGGAACTGGCCTGACAGATTCCGTAGTGATGAGATCTTTATCATGCCTATTCTGCCTGAGAAACTCCCCCTCAATTTGCTCAAAGAACGTGGACCACCGCCTTTGGTGATCATGCAACACAGATCTTTGCATGATTCAGATCTAGCATGACAAGTTTCCACGATCCAGACCCAGATATAGTTGCAATGCATAACCAAGCTCCACGCTTTGAATCAAACCGAATACGAGAAAGTTCTGGTTCTCGACATCGACATGTGCATTCGGCGCAACATCGACTGTTTATTCGACCTCCCGTGCCCGGCGGCCATGCAGCGGGGGGCGAACAACAACTGCAAGTACGCTATCAAAATGAAAGATTCCCCCTCCCCATATCAAAGCAAAATTTCTGATGCTGGATTTGCGTACACAGATCAGGTCTGTCTTGCAGTAGAGGACTGCAGGCCCATATCATGCCACTGTAGAAAGGTTTTGGCCTAGGCACTTAGCATGAGGAACGTCTATGCTGTAGGCCGAACAGCATTACAAACCGCCTGTATAATGGGGCGAAGCTGATGCCGTTGCTTTCTTGCAAGACAGACGCGATTTGTGGCCACAAATCAGCATTGCAAATTCTCTGAGGCGTGTTCTTTCGATATGGGGAGGGGGGATTTTTCCTTACGATATACGCGCACGGCCAGTCGTTAAACGGGGCTAACTATCAAATGCAAATATGTCTGGGTCTGGAAGTTTCTGACACCTGTCACGCATGTTGTGCATGAGCCATGACGTCTGTGATGCATGCCGTAGCATCACAGATTTTTTGAGGGCTTCTGGTTGCCACCTATTCCGCATTACAAATGCCCCCTCCACCTAGCAAGACTCTCATTACCCATTGCTGCTCATGCAACGCAAATTTTTCTAGGATCCAAATGCAGCATCACAAGTTCTTGCACTCTTCCAGACCCAGACATATAATTTGCGCTGCATACCAACTTCTTCCGGAAGGGTCTGTCCGGCCCCGAAGCACCGAAGGAAAATGAACAGTGGCCGGAGGCGTTTTTCCAGGGAACGGGGATCAACGCCGGGGTCATGCTATGCAAGTAAAAAACTGTGTAAGTTTAACTTTCTTGGAGGAACAGCATCACAAGTTTGCTCTGCATGACAGAGAAAACCTGTCATGCGTAGCTAGTATCAGTGAAAACTAGTGCGAAAAGAGCCTCTGATGCATGTCCAGCATGACAAACGTAAGCGTCTAGCATCTTCCGCAGCACAAAGCTACACCTACACACGTTTTTTTCTTGGATACATGCTGTTTCAGCCGGACGCGAAGCGGTTTCAGGACGTGTGTACGGTTGTGAAAACGACCCGACACCCGGAGCACATCAACACCACCGCGCCGGAGCAGGATTTCTTGTCGCGCTACTTTGCCGACTACCCCTGGCACAACATTTCTGTTCGGTTCAATTTTCAGCTGCACCTATCAAATGTAAAAATGTCTGGGTCTGGAAGAATGCAACTTGTCATGCTGCATATGGATGTCTAAAAGATTTGTGTTGCATGAGCAGCAAAAGGATTCTAATTTTTGCTACGCGGAGAGGGCATTTATCATGCGGAATAGGCATCAAGAATCCCGCAAAAAACCTGTGATGCTAGGGCATGCATCACAGACATCATGTCTCATGCAAACCGTGCATGACAAGTGTCAGAATCTTCCAGACCCAGACATTTTTACAGTTGATAGCACCAGATTTTTCACAACATGAACCCGCTTAATTGTGCGGAACGCAAGCGATACTTGGATCCGATGTAAGATTGATAATTTTTTTTCTTTTCAACAGGGCGAGTTTTTCTTCTATGTATGTTATTGGTTGCAGCCTTATGAAGCCAAGCTTTCTCGTCTTTCGAATTATGATTCCAATTTCATCGAGTGCCACTGCGAGTTCAAAAATGCTCGTAATTTTTACATTCAGCTACACAATATTAAAATGAAATCTCAGTGGCCGCCTTCGCATCGCCGTGGTTCACTATTCGGGGACTTTGAAGCCTTGGCACCACGTCTGCGATCCCGAGCATCACGATAGCAGCATTGTATGAAAGTGGACCACAAAGAGAACTGCTCTACTTGTGTCACCCCTCGACCTCGCCCCCTCCCCGCTCACTATCATCTCGATTCAAGTTGTGCATGAACACCAGCAAGAGATGAAGCACTAACAGGCACAATGATCCTCGTGTAGTTTTTACTTCTGAGGACGAGAAGAAGTGCTTCTAGATGCTAGCGCCGCAGTTTATTACCGTAGTCGTGCTGCAACTTCTTAGATGCAGCGCAGTTCTAGGACGCGGGGGCACGGGCAGCTGCAAGCATTATAGCACGAGTGGTTATCATGCCTTGGAAATGAGGGGGACAACTAACAACGACGAGGAGTTCTTTATTTCCACTTTCATACACTGAATCTTTCGTGGAGAAGTGTCTGAATGAGTTCGAAACGTACAAGCACTGGCACCTGAAAAACTTCGACTCGGTGGGAATCGAAGAATTTGAGAAGGAAGCTGGAATACGCATTGCAAATATGTCTGGGTCCTCTGGAAGGTTGCAACTTGTAATGCTGTCTCCGGATTCGAAAAAAATTGCAATGTGTAGGGCATTTCTAATGCGGAATAGGCATATCAGGATCAGGAACAGGAAGAGTTCTAGACGTCTGTGATGCTTCTAGGGCATACATACATCACAGATAATCAGTGGACATGCAAAATATGCATGACAAACCCGGCAAGCAGCTTCCAGACCCAGACCTATCTGCGTTTCATATGTAATCAAGTGCGAATTTGAAGAAGAATTCTACGACCAGGACAACTACCGAGCCAGCAGTTCGAAAGTTTTGAAGCATATGTACGACAAGGAAGAGTACGACTTGTGGCTGAAAACCGACGGAGACGAAGAATGCCGCAGCTCCAGCAAACCTGAGCCAATTGACATGGACAGGCTGAACCACCAATGCAAGCAGGCAATGGAGATCGTCAGGGAGTCGCATGTATCCTGTGCAAAAGTATCGTAGTCGTACTAATCGCATTCATGCATCACAAATTTCTTTCTCAAGTTGAATCCGCATTACAAATTCTATCTCTCTCTCTCATGCTGAGGAGATCATTTGTCATGCGATTTATACTGGTACGATGCTCCTGCATTTCATAGCATGTGTTCTGGCTCTACATGTGGAAAAAAATGTGGGACGAAGACTTCAACATGTTGGAATATCCTGGGCAAAAACGTCCCAACCCCAGAGTTGCAATGCAAATCTGCATGCCTGCAAAAAAGTTTCTCATGCGGAGCCACATGAGAAGCATTTTCTAGTCGTGTTCGGGGATAATTTGTGATGCTAGAATCAGCATGATATTCTAGATCTGTGATGCTGCTGAACTAGCTAAACCGGGTGCGACTGTGGGGGCAATCGCAAACCTGTCATGCGAAACAACAAAATCTGGCGGATTTGTCTAGCAGATTCCCCATCATCTTGACTATGGGGCCGCGGGGACGTTTTTACGCAGGATATGCAAAGGTGCGTGTTCCGGAAAAACCACATGAAGAAGGACGCTGTGTCGGGGAAGATAAAGTATCCTGTGCAATAAAAGTATCGCACTCGTAGTCATTATCGCAACCACGCATTACAAATCTCCTTCTCAACCTCAATCCGCATGACAAATTCCATTTTTCATGCTGAGGGAATTTGTCATGCGATTTCTACTAGTACGATGCTTATTTTGCATTTCATATAAAGTACGTGCCCTGGGCGGATTGGGATTTGATTCGGGAACTGGAGAAGCAGGAGGGGCCATTGTGAAGACTACAGCGACGAGTCTATGAGTATTCACACGCGATGATGATCACGCAAAAACCGACGAGAGGACTACCAAGACTAAAGGCAAGACGATAATCCTTGCTGCATCAAATTTAAAAGATCAGCTAGTAAAATCTAATGACCACCACGACTTTTTACGCTTGCGCTTCAACAACTAAAAACTGCCTTTATTTTTTGAACATTTTTACAACATGAACATGATCAGAGTTTATTTATATCAAATCGCGAAAGCAGAAGTGCAAATACGGTAACTGTTTGCTTCTCCTCGCCCAGGAGGTCGGATTTGTTTCTCCTCGTCGCCCAGCAGGGTTTAATCTTTCTACCGATAAGGTGCAGCATTTACATTGCAGTTGCACCCTGAAGGGACCAACATGAATAAAACGAGCCCATTCAACATCGCTTTATATGACGACAGATCATGACGACGTTGTGAGTGATCGGATGACAAATCATGCTGAGAAGTTTTTACTTGCAGTACATCCGTATCAATCACCTTCTCATAATTTATTTTCGCAGAGTTTTTCATTTTCAGCAGTGCTGCACCAGTTGCACATTTTATTGCGCGCAGGCGCGCAACTTCGTGATGATCCTAAGGTCGTGTATTGCTCTGCATTGCTATCGCAAATTGAGAAAATCGCACTAGGAGTTCTTTCTGGTTTTGTACCAGTGCTATCGAGACGCTCGCAGACGGTGCTCTTTTGCCTCCGGATGATGGTCCTTTTTTTCTATTTTTTTCGATCAGTTTGCAAAGAAAGGTCGAGGAGCGATCTTCGCGAACAATGTGCATCCTCAGATCTGCAGGCCCGAGAAATAAGTGAAGGCCCAGATCCACGAGGACCTCAGCAGCTCAACCTGATCAGAAGTCGCAGGCAAGAACTCAGATCTTCCATATCGGTTCTTTGGATTCGTGTGCCAAGCGTCGGCAGATCCACATCACGACCAAAATTATAGACAGGATCATCCAATAAGATCAAAATGACAAAATCCGCGGTCGTTTCTTGTTTTTGTGCTCTCTCGCTGCTGGTCACGAAAAACTCGCAATTCTAAGCAGTCCCCCTCGAAGGTGGGGTCGGTACAAGACCTACATTCGGTGGATAAAATTCAGGATCCTGACTTGATGAAAAATTTCGCAGGCGCGGCGTATGTCGTACTCGCACCCGCCTGGCCTCCGAGATCGTTCTAATATTCTGTTGTGACAGACAACATGCACTTGCCAAATCATGTTGGTCTTCCCCACAGTTCAACAGCTTGTAATTCTACGTACTTTCACCTAGTACAACTTTGAGTTACGAAAAAACCTCTGTGCAGAAGATCCTAGTTAGACGAATTGTTATTCTTTACAAAAAATTGTTACTCTGACCATAGCGATTATAGATCGCTCTATAACGTTTGACACCCACTATTTTTCCACCCGTAATATCGAAGTTTTTCAAGCCATTGTCTTCACCTGCAAATTCGTGACAAGAAAGGAGGAGACATTTCCTTTCCATTTGTAAGTAAAACAGCACTTCTAGCAAAGTAGTAGAAGTTGCACAATAATGATGAAGGAAACTACCAAAACCTCGTCTGTGTCGTGGAAGTTGGCCGGCAGCACCGCGGCGGCCTTGCTTCTTTTATCGGAAAGTATGACGTCGAGCAGTGTCGTTTATACGTGCCAAGCCCTGGAACTTCAGGTGTCGTCCTCTTCTGGTGCTGGCCGAGGGCGGCCAAGTAGAAGCCCTTCCTCGTCGGGACGGAGTCGTGGCGCCGGACGGTCGCCTACTCGTGGTACAACCAGCAAAGACGAGGCTGTACTTCCAGTTGCCAACTTGGAAGACTACTTCGCTCCCATCCGGATCGACGGGGGTGCTGTTGCTCCCGAAGAAGGACGTATTGAGAAGAACCACGCGTATTCCGCAGATTTTGCGAACCTCCTTGCCCAGCAGCGCCCGCTTGTTAGCACTGTTCTCTCCCGCGGCAGAGAAGTAGAGCCGGTCGCTGGGGCGGTTGATGCAAGATCTTCATCAGCTATGAATGCGGTCCAGCAACCTTTCGCTGCCGAGCACCTAGGTGGAGGGTCCCTAGACGGAGAGCCTCGCTCTCTGTTAACCAAGGAAGAAAAGACAAGCCTAGCCACTGCCGGTCGCGGTTGGGGTCGGACCGCATTGGGGGCCAGCATTGAGGGCCCAAACCAGGTGGCCCAGCTGCAGCGGTCGCGCGTGGTTACCGTCTTTGCGCGTAACTTTCTACGCAGCCTGCTTGCGTACCAGCCTCGACATGAAGTACGGAGGGAGGAGGGCGGTAGCGCCAGCAGTGGGCTTCGCCGTGGTGGTCAAGCGCCGTCCCACTTGATGGCGCCGAGAGAGGTGCTGCTGACGGTTCCGCCGATCGGCGGGCGCCGCGAGTCTGACTATCAAATGGAAAAATGTCTGGGTCTGGAAACTTGTGATGCTGAGTGGCGTAGCATACGGAGGCCACAAGTGCTGGCTCAGCATGACAAATTTCTGAGCTTGTAGGTGTTGCCTATTCTGCATGACAAACTGCGTCTCCGCATGACAGAAAAAAACGTCTCTTGGGCAATGCGCATGACAGATTTAAGAGTCATGCCAGACAAGCATGACAAACATGCATTCTTCCAGACCCAGACATTTTTACATTTGATACTGACGCAGCGGAGACAACTCGCCAAGGTTTTCCGCCGATCGCCGACGTTGAACGCGCGGCGTCTTTTATGCAAGAAAAAAGCAGTGTAGTGGTGTATTGTCTGTATTACGTGGAAAGCATGCAACGCAGGAGGCACACTTGTAATGCGTACCAGCCATATTAATGTCTTGCTTTCGTACGTGTTTTCACGTACTAGCTGTGCATGACAAGAGGACTTCTCTGTGATGCAGAGGAATTTTGTCATGCAATTAAAAACCAATGACACCACCAGCACACCTAGACCTACACTAAGGGAGTTTTTTTCTTGGATATCTTTGTTGCTAGCACCGGGAGAGTTGAAGAAGCCCGTTGTGGACTGGAGATGGCTTCCTGTTCCTGACGACTCTCCAGACGAAGCGTCACCTGTCCGACAGGTGACGCTTCGTCTAGAGAGCCGTGAGGAAGCCATCTACTACCGCACCTCGGTTTACAGAGACAGCAGTTTAAATAATGCCGTCCTGTTTCAAGAGTACAGTGGACACGAGCCCGTTTCAAGTGGCGCTTTTTACGTGGCGGAACGCCGCCCGAAGCTCACCGCTGAGTTTAAATTTGCCCTCACGTCGGATAACCACGGCCGTAATTATGCAGAACTGCGCAAGGTCGCCGTCACGCTTCGCCACACGCCTGCCGAGCCCGTGAACCGCTGGCCCTGGTTTCAAACCCAATCATGGGTTTCCGAGGTGGTAATCGTATCACCAGAAATTATCCGAAAAGCGCATCAACTTGAAGGAAGAGAACGGGTAATGGAAATTTGTGGGGACAAATGGTATTGGAACAACAAACACCAGCCGCTACCTCCAGCTGCTGCGGAGTTTAGTATCCACATCCCAAGTAGTACTAGAGCTACCTCGTCGGAGGACAAAAGCTATGAAGTGTACGACTGCTCCTACGAGGAATATGGAGGGGTGGTGAATGAAGAGGCGACAACTTTTTGTATCCTGACGAAAAACGAGGCCCACTACTGCACCTCAGAGTTGTCATGGAGATTCGCATCTACAGCAAGATTTGTAATGCGCATGATCCCGCCCATGAGACACATTCGTGTTTCGGCATTTGTGATGGTGTAAACGTATAATAAATAGGATCATAAGCAGATGGCTCTGTGTTGAAGATGTGGCTGCCCTTCTTGCGAATCTGCACCACGCGACAGCTAGTTGTGCTAGAGACTTGTCATGCGTGACTCCCGAAGTAGCTTCTGGATTTGTGTTGCAAAAAAATTCCCATCTTGACCGTGGGGCGTGGGCCCCGTTTATTTTCCCTACCATAATTGCACCGGTAGAACGCGGAAACGCTCTCTGGACGCCAGAAGGGTGGGAAAAGGTAACGCGCGCGCGCCAGGCGGACCGTGGCTTGGGTGAAAGGCTACGTCGGCGCTTTGTCCGATGTTGTGGAACAAAACGGGGAAACAAACAAAAAGACAGCTGAGAGAACAACTCAAAGCCACGCCATGTTGCGGACGAGATCTCAAAGCGATCAAGAATAAGCCTGTATAATTTTAATTCGGGGAAGATGACCCGGCTCACCAGGCAAATTATCTTCTTGGAGATCTTCCAATAGATGACTCGGACAAAGTTGTAGATGGGAGTGGTCTTATAGAGTCGTATCTGGTATAGTATAAGGTTAAGAATACTAAAAATGTACTACCGCCGGTGGTAAGTGCCAAATTATCCGACTCCTTCCCGTCTCGATCAAAGTTAGTTGCCGGAGATTTTCTGTCGCGTCATCTTCGCCTAAAAAAGTTGCTTTGTAGGTACTAAGTAATTATGTCCCGCCAGAAGTGCGAGGCCTCCAAAGGGCGTCGTCCTGAAGTGGTACAACTATAACCACTTCAGGTACAGTGCCACCCGAAAGAACGGCAGCGCTTCTCGCGGTGTAGTTCATAGTGCTCTTTTTTCGTAATCATTGCAGCCTGCAGGAGGAATCAGTGGATCATCTCCTGCCTGTAGGAGAGGATCATGCACTGTGCTTGTAGGAGAAGTTTTAGTTTTATTTAATTTTATCCCATGTTGGTTGTATCTGTATGATGAGAAGATTAGACTTCACTTCACTTCTCCCATGTATGATTACGATATAGACAAGTCCGTCGTGTACAATGATTGAAATTCAAATTCATGTTCTTGAAAAACTACGTCGAGGCCATATTAAAAAACGAACAAGTTCCTGTACAACTTCCACGTAGGTTCATCTATACAACGACCACCTTGCTGCCCACGTGTGATCTATTTCCCACGAAGATGAGCAGCAGCTTTACACGACTACGTATCTATGCTGTGACACTTGAGTACAGGAATTATGCTTTGGCACCACTTGTACAACATCTACATGCAGCATACTTGTCGAGGCACGGCATGCAAGATGAATCGATGGAAACAACAAGAACTTCCAAGAAAATGAGGCTCGCGGCCTGCAGGGGTGGCTGCGTTTACTTAGGAGGATGAAAACTACAGAACAAGCGAAAGGGAAAGAGGTGGAAGATGTACAAGTAGAGTTCCTGCGTCGATGATGTTCTTTCGCTGGTGCCTGGGGCTGCTGGTGGTACCAAGCTGCCACCTCCGTCGATCTAGGGCGAAAAAGTTATAAAGTGCTGCTATTTTTGATTCGTACGCTTCTCGCTTCTTCGTATTCCGCGACTCTTTGAGGACTTGCGCAAAGAGGTTCTGAAAAATTGGGGTGGGTAGCTGATGGTCGACTTGATGCAAATACTCGGTTGTGAATTTATTGAAGCGAACAAGTTCTTTTACCTTTCCGAAACAACTACTTCTTCGGTGATGACAATACAGTGTTTATTGTGTGTTTCATCGTTCAAGGGAAGAGGTACTTACTCGTCAGAAGTCGGGCTCGTATATAATCTTCACGTTGAAAAAAGAAAATACCACCTGATAAATGTTTTCGCTTCATCGTCCAACCACGTCTATTCCGGGCGGGCGATAAATTCGTTTTTCATCATGCTCTCGCTGTGTTTTTTGTATCTCGCCGCAACAAGTCCAAGTCCTTTGGCAAATGATCATGATGTAGTTCTAGTTATTTTCGTAGCATTATTAGTTTATTCTTCCCGGCGCCCAGGAGAAGACATTCGGCGTAAGGGGGGCAACGTGGTATTTATGTCTTTGAAAAATTTACAGTGCAGTAATATCCAAAATGATGCTCACCCACAAGAATCTGCGGCGTCGCTCTCGCGAATACCATAGCGCGTACGATGGAACGGCACCATATGGAAGCGTCAGGTTTGAAATCGACAAAGTTGAGAATGAGATAGTTTGTGATGCATAAAATGCAACCCACAAAGAGCCGGTCTAGCAGAGTAGGCAAGGGAGACAGATGGTAAGCCTGTTGAGGGGTAGAAATAGAGGTGCTAAAGTAGCATGATAGAAGGCGGCTTCCTTACCCAAACAGCATTACAAACTGGATCCCGGTAGTTCTACCCAAATTTGTCATGCGCCACTTGAAAACTAGGTACCAACTGGTATCCGTTTTATGCATTGCAAATTACTCCAACTTTGACGATTTCAATCCTGACGCTTCCATACACCAGCGCGGGGGAGCGGCACCTCCAACGACCCCTCGAATGCATCTTCAACCGGCGGAGAGGTTAATCAAATTAGCAGGGAACAACTAGGAACAAACAGTGGTAATATCAACTGTGAAAATGTCTGGGTCTGGCAGAATTCATGTTTGTCATGCTTGTCTGGCATGACTCTTAAATCTGTCATGCACGTTACCCAAGAGCTCCGTTTTTGAAGCGCAGTTTGTCATGCAGAATAGGCAACACCTAGGAGCTCGGAAACTTGTCATGCTGAGCCAGCATCTGTAGCCTCATCATGAGACGCCACGCAGCATCACAAGTTTCCAGACCCAGACCCTTTTACTTTTGATACATAATGGAGGCCAACAACTCCAAACCGGTCCTCTGGGGCTTCCCGTATGAAAGCCTCAGGTTGGAAATCCTCAAAGTGAAAAAAATTTGTAATGCAAAAAAACGACTCCAGTTGGAGCACCATTTCTAGTCGGCGCATGACAAATTTCCCGGGCACTCAAAACGTGTCTGTCATGCTAGGTAGGCAAAGGGGTGCCCTTCTGTCATGCTAATCAGCATCCCAATTCTGAACCCGTAGAAGCACAGTAGTCGGCCTCCATTACGTTCTCTGCAATACAGACTTTTTGGTGTCGCATTACATGCATCACAAATTATTTCCACTTTGAGGATTTCCATTCTGAGGGTGTCATATCCCGCGCCGGGGTCGTCCACCCTCCGACGGTCAGATTCGAACTATGAATTGCAAAAGTATCGTACTACTTGTAAAAATTGCATTACAAATTAGCTCAGCATGACAAAGAAAATTTGTAATGCTAATGCGGATTTACCATAAAAGCAAAATTTGTAATGCATAGATGCCCAGGACCAGGTAGACTCAGTCCCGACCGAAGTGGTAGGCGCTTAGGGTGAACTATGTATGTAGCGCTTAGGGCCCTTCCGCACGGCCAATTTGTATGTCCCGCAACGGGGTTCGCCTATGTCGGTCATTTGTATGCGAGGCGATGGGTTACCCGGTCGGCAGAGCCGATCCACAACGAACGAACGATAGATGCAATTACTACATACTTTTGCAATGCATTCGAACAGCACGATTGCGAGTTTGGAATCTGCGATCAACGTGGGGATTGGGTCGGACACGGTATGCTGTGCAAATAAAGTATCGTACTCGTATAAATGCACGTCTTGCATTACAAATTTCTTTGTCAAGGCATATCAGCATTACAAATTTTATTTCTCATGCTGAGAAAATTTGTAATGCATTCATACGAGTACGATACTTTTGCAGTTCATACACGATCCGCCAGAGCAAAATCCAATTTCTCCAGTCGAAGGGTATTTACGGCGGAATTGCCCCCGCCGTCGTCGAGGTTCCGTCGTCTGCGGAGCAGTCGCAGATCGAAACGACTTTTCTGTCCGGGAAACAAAAACCAGAAAATCTTCCTACTGTTCCCCGGTCCCTCACCCCCGTTGCTGCTGGCACTAGAGCTGCGAGTCGCCAACTCACCACGGGGCCGGGGGGCGCGCCTTTGCCGGGAAGCAAACCGCATTTGGATTCCTTGGATGGGTGTAGGTTTTTGCTAGTTCTACCCATCATCATCGGCCACTTTATACCGGCGGCACTTGCGACGGCACGACACGAGAAGCAGAACCAGATCTCGCTGCCGCTCCTGAAGTTTCTGACATATCCACAGCAAATTTCCCGTACACGTACAAATGCGGTCTCCGCATGACAAAACTTGGCTTCGATCCTAGTTTAGCATGACAAGTTTTACGCTCCAAATTGGTGAAATTTGTGATGCATTTTGTACATGGGCGGGAAATTTGTATTGCATATGACACACGAAAATGTCATCGTCGGCGGTTTTTTCCTCTTGTCGGGCTACGTCAGCGGCTACACGGGAAGCAAGTTGGGCGAGCGCGTGCACGAAGTGGAAAAACTGAAGAACCGCTATTCTGCGTAAAAACGTCCC